TTAGCACCCGGAGGATTTTAAAGACAGTTCAATCGATTTTTTCTCCCCTGAGCAATTCCTCACGCTGGAAGGGGCACTGCGCCAGCCTCCATCGGGAACAGATTTCTGATTCTCATTCATGGAGCGGGTTCCCACAGGCGGGCGGGGAGCTGAGCGGTGGGAGGTTCAGGACCCCGGTCAGCGCACACAGGTCTGTGGGCTTCGCCATCTTTCTTCGCAGGGAACAAAGGAAGGACCCTCCTGCTGTGCCAGGCCCTGTGCTGGGTCAAGGATGCCCCAGCTCCAACCTGGCCCCTGCTTGCTTGTAGGAGTGGTGGTCCCCCTCCTCCCCCTGTGTCCAGGGACGTGGCTTCAGTATGAGCTGGGCCATGGTGATAGTGTCCACTACCCATGTCGACAAACACGACTAAACCTGCCTCCCTTCTTCCCAGAAAGGCAGCTGATGGCACACCGTGATGGCACACTGTCCTGGGGCCTTGAGCAGGCGCAGGGTTTCCGCTCGGTGCCGCTGTCCGTGGTACTGACCCGCCCTCTGTCAGCCCTGAGCACTGGTGTTCTGAGCACAGGGCACCTGGTGCCTTAGGCAATCTCCCAGCAGCTCTGTGGCTGAGCACACAGGTTAGGAGACCTGCCCCGAGTCACTGCGGAGAGATGGCAGGGGCTCCCCCGGGGCTGCCTGCACGTGGAGCCCTAGCACCCAGCTGTCATGCCACTTGGCCTCTCCTTCACAATGACATCACCCCATGGTGGCCACTGGGGTGACTCAGAGGCTGAGCACAGCTTGTGCAGCTCCATCCAGTGACCTCTGACAGTGAGTCAGAGGGGCGTGGCCTTCTCCCCACTTGGCAGAGGTGGAGCTGAGCTCAGAGAGGTGGGCGCCTGCCAAGGCCTCTCAGGACCCCAGGTCCCTCCAGCTGCCCATCCAGCTCTGCAGCTGGGGCAGTGTCTCCTGGCTCCTGCTTTGGCTCCTAAGGAGAATGTGCCACCCAGGACAGAGGAGAGGCTTTGTGAAGCATGTGGCTGAGGGCGAGGACTTGGGAGAAGGGACCAGTGGCTCTGTCCTGAGTCCCATCCCTCCTGACAGGCCTTGGGGTATCTCAGGCTCCCCACTGAAGTCCCTGTGACCCCAGGCCGGAGCCCAGGCCCCCAGCCTGCTGCTCTTGGGATGGATCCTGCCACCCCCAGCCTTGCTCCAGGGCCACTTGTACCCCACCCTCCCTCACCCTGGGCATCTGCTAAGCTGCCCCCTTGCCCAGATTGCCCCCATCACCGTCTTCTCTCCTCTGGACAGAGGCCTGCTGGGCCCAGCATGGGCTTGCCCTCCCAGCTCTTAGAACCCAGGGGTCCAGCTCTGCGCCCACCCAGGTCCTCCCGGGTTGGAGGACTCTTTGCGACTTAGTTTTTGTTCTGTTTCTGTTTGTCCCCAGAGGGAGTAAAGGACTCCGGGTCGCGATTCTGGTTTAACTTTAGCCAAGTGCAAACCTTCCCATGTGTGTCATCTCATGAGACCTCATTACAGCCCTTCAGAGCCATTGTCACCCCGCCCAGGGACAAGAGGCCGGTGCGGAGAGGCTGGGCTTCTGAGAGGCCACACAGCTGTTAGGTGGTGTCTGGTCTCTGACTCCGAGGCTGTTACACACCAGGCAAACACCAATCGCAGCCCAGGACCTTAGGATGAGACTGTGTGGGGACTAGGCCTTTAGGGAGTGACTGGGTGAAGGTCAGACCATGGGGTGGAGTGGGCCCTCCCCAGTACTGCCGGTGTCCTTCTAAAAACAAGAAATCGGGACACACGGGCACCGGGCTGTGAGCACAGTGCAGGGAGAGGGCACCTTCATGCCCAGGAGACGGGCCTTGGGAGGACCAGCCCAGCCGGCACCTTGAGCTTGAGGTTCTGGGCTCCTTGACTAGGAGAGCCAAGCGCCTGCTGTCCAAGCCGCTGTCTGTGGCATTTTGCTGTGGCAGCGGGAGCCCGGCAGGGTGGACGTGAGGTGGCCTGAGTGCTCAGCGCACGTTTGAGGCCAGGCCATCTTTTGGAGATTTGCTGAGGAAAGCAGTTTTCCCAGGACTGTCTCCTGCGCTCCCAGTGTCCCTGATAGGCCAGCGGGGGAGGCTTTCTGTGGCCTGGCCCTGGGCAGGATGCTCCTTCCCTCCCTGCAGCTGCTTGGTTGCCATGGTAACTGTCTCCAGTGCTGAGAGCAGGCTGCTGTCCGCGGCGGCAGAGCAGGTTCCTGCCAAGGCACCTGGATGGCCACGCGTTGCTCCCTTGATCAGTGGAGCCAGAGGCCACAGATTCCCTCCCGTCCAACATCTGTCTGCACTCGGTCCTGCCTTGCTGAGGGCCCCAGCCAGTCCAGCGAGACCCAGTATCAGGGCCCTGGGACACCAACCACAGGGAGGGCTGCCACGGGGCAGACCTGCGCCTGCTCCAGGCCAGCCCGGCCCGGCTAGCCCTGCCTCTGCCTCATGCATGGTCCTAGGCGTGGTGCTGCCCACCCAGCGCCTCCGTCTCCTGCTGGGTGGATGGGAGAGGGCAGCCCTTCCTGCAGGGCTGCAGCTTCTCTACTCCGGTGGGTGGCATTCACTCGCTGTGTCTCCAGGCTAGCCCTCCTGGCATCTCCGCCAAGGCCCACTGGGCGTGACTGGAATGGCCGCACTGCCCTGGCCTTCACGGGTGACGTCCTCACCGTTCTCACTTAGCTCTTCACCAGAACCAACCGGGAACCTTTCCTCATCTCACGGCCTCGCCCCACTGACTGTTGACAGATTCACCCGTGGAGTGGAGAGTGTGCCAAGGCTAGAGGACTGAGAGCCAGGGATGTGGGGACCCCTCTCCCACATGTCACCAGCCCTCATGATGCCCTCCCTGCTGGTGTGACCCTGGCTGGGTCTTCTGATAATGCAGAGCCCCTGACCGCAGGAGACAGAGGGCTTCTATAAAGGTCTCTGCAAACCCGTAGAAGGCCGTGTGACCAGGTGCCCCGTGTCCTTGCAGGAGAGCCAGGAACTTACTCTTGGGTGGAGTGCACCCCATTTCTGAGCTTCACTGATTCTCTTAGCTACAGCTTAGGGTTCACAGGGTGGGCTGAACAGCCAGGGCATCCACACAGCCACCAACCTGCAGGGTGACGAGGCCTCATCCTGGGGACAGGGGGCGCACCCACCCTCCCAGGGCTGCGCGCAACACCCGTCCTCATCTCTCCCAGCTCCTGGCAGCTGTCAGTCATCCTTGGAGCTGCATCACTGGACCCTGGCTCATCTTGGCAGGGCCTCCCCCTCTGGTGACTGTCCTCTGTGTCTCATGAGGACGCTCGTGTTGGATTTAGGGCCCACCTGGGTAATTCAAGGTGATCTCATCTCGAGATCTTGAATTACATCTGCAAAGACCCCCTTTCCAAATAAGATGACTCTCACACTCTCTAGGGGTTATGGACACCTTTTGGGGGGCCATCCTCAGCCCAGGGCTCTGGAGAAAATAATTGCTCAGTCGAGTGGGGGACTTTCCCACTGTCCTTCTCGTCCTGTGTGACCTGCTCCTCTCTCCTGAATCTTCCTGTGCCCCACAACTTTTCTTGTAGGGAATATGATTCTTAGCTGCCAAAGAGTGATGGGGAGTTAGTCAGAGCCCCCCGGACAGCTGGAGCGGAATCAGGTGGGAAAACGGAGGGGCTCTCAATGCACCTGATTATGCCCCTTCCCAAGGGAGGCCCGTCCTGAGGCGGGCCTTGAACAGCAGGGTCCCACACGTGGGTTCACACAGCCGCTCAGGAGCTGAGGAGGGGCCAGGGTTCATCCTCTAGAGGAAAGGGCGTTCCCTGCTCACGCCCACCCCTCGTTCTGCAGACATGGAGACAGGCTGCAGGGCAGAGGTGAGGTTCCCATGTGGCAGCCTGCTCCGGAGACAGCCAGGCCCTGATGCCCAGCCCAAGGCCTCTGGCTTCTGACCTAGTTGCCCAAAGCTAGAGCCGTCCAGGTGGTTGCTGTGGCCTGCACACGCGTGGCCGTGCGGGCGAGTGGAGGCTGCCTTTGCTGGGCCCTGGGGCTTCTGCCACGGCACCTCCCTGACCAGGAGCCCACTGTCAGGCCTGTCCTGGGGGACTAAATGAAATTCAGCAGGGATGGCATCCCTTCTTGGTCATTAGCTCCGTCACATACCCAATGGCTTCCATGAAGAGTGAGGCAGCAGGAGCTGTGGGTCCAGGGACCTGGTGGCCCCGACCCAGTGGGATGCCCACGGCCTGTAGGACACCATGCTGCCCAGAGGCACTGGCTTTGGCTTCAGAGGGCAGCACTGCCCATTGGCTCCAGGGCCCTGCTCAGAGGGCTCCCAGGTCCTGGCCATGACTGTGTTGTGCCCGTGGAGACCAAGCCTGCTCACAGAGTTGCCTTACAGTGTCCACTGTGCCCAGCATCCTTTGCAAGGGCAAGATTCTCCCCAGGTGCTCTGGCTGTGACAGCCACTGTCCTGGGCCACTGAGAGACCCAGGCTTTGGGGCCTGCGACTCCCCAGCCTGCACATAGGCACAAGTTGGAGCTGGCCCAGAAAGGAAAGAGGCCCTTTCCCTACAGGAGACCCCGATGCTGTGGGCAGAGGGGAAAGGAGCTGGGGGAGGGGACAGAGGCCCACAGGCTTGGTTTCAGACACAGTTAGAGTGACAGAGATGTTGAATCCTTCACCAAGAGCGTTCCTGATGAGTATGTAATAGATGCACAACAAAATCTCCTTCTGCTCAACAATGATAGGGGCTGGGAGCCACTGGGGAGAGGGCTCAGGGTGGGAGGGAGGCAGTGGGCCCAGCTTTGCAAGGAAAGTGGACACCACGTGAAAGGGGGGCAGCAGGCACTGCCCCACGCAGCTCTGTGGCTCAGGGGTCTCTGCTGCGGTGTTGTCCAGGGGTCCTGGGAACAGAGGTGCACAGCCTTGTCCTGGGGGCCTTGGGGACAGGGAAAGGCGGAGCAGCCAGGGTGCCGTTGCTGCCCTTCCTTGACCTTGCCCCCAGACATCGTGGACATCAAGCCGGCCAACATGGAGGACCTCACGGAGGTGATCACGGCCTCGGAGTTCCACCCCCACCACTGCAACCTCTTCGTCTACAGCAGCAGCAAGGGCTCCCTGCGGCTCTGCGACATGCGGGCGGCGGCCCTGTGTGACAAGCATTCCAAGCGTAAGTGCCACCCCAGGCCCTGCAGAGGCGGGGGGCGAGCTGCACGGCCTGTCCTGGAGCTGGGGGCGGCCGGAGTGGGCCGGGCTGTTCTGCTGGTCCTGCTGCCCAGGAGCCGCCCAGCTCCAGGGTCTGGGACTCTAGGGCCAGGGCCAGGAGACGCAGAAGTGAAGGAGATGCTGCTCTAATGTCACCTCCTCGGGGGCCCTCCCCTGACGCCACACAGGGCCAGGACCCTGCTCTGCCCATCCTGGGCCGCATCCTTTTCCCTTGCAGAGCTCCCTGGGGGCTGCTCCCTCTTCCCCTGCAGCCCGAGCCCCTCAGAGGCTGGGTGTGGAATGTGTGGCCCCCTCATCCTGGAGCCCCCCAGAGGGTGCCCTGGAGGAGGCCCAGGGGAACAAGCCCTCAGCAAGACAGCCACCACGGCCCACCTTCAGAACACTCGGCTGAGCCTGGCCCCCAGAACTGAGCATGGGGGGCTGGGCTGCCTGGTGCTGGCTGTGGCCCCAGTTGCCACATGGTCTCCAGAGGCCCCTGGAGGCAGGATCAGGCTCCCTTCCTGTGGAGTAGCAGGCTGCACCCCTGCTGGGAGAGCAGGGGCCGTGTCCCTCTGGTCCACCTCCCCATCCATCCCCAGTGCCTATTAACAGTGTCTGGAAAGAGACACTTCCTGAGTGAGTGAGGCCAGTCAGTGGCTGGTGGAGGGTGGGTCACACTCTCCCCTGGGTGCACGTGTCATGGGTAGTCAGTGTGGATCCTGTCTCCGCCCTGGGGACTCAGGCTCAGGCGCTGAAGCCTCCTGTCCCCTCTCCCTCCCTGAGCTCTGTCCCTTGCTCCTGGCCACCACCACTCTCCTCCAGGCCTGCCCACGCTCCATGCCACCAGGGGCTTGCGTCTGAGTTAGGGAGACAGTGAACACGTTCCTAGGCCACAGTGTCAAGTTCAGGGACAGAAGCCAACGAGGGTATGGCAAGACAGACCCCGACGGAGTGAGCCGCGGGAGTGGGGAGAAGGTGGTCCTGAGCAGAGCTGTGCGGGGCAGAGGCAGGAGGCCAGGGGGAGCGCGGGAAGGAGGGCAGGAGGCGAATCAGAGTAGAGCAGGGGCAGGTGGCTCAGGCCACCGCCCGCAGGTCAGGCCAAGGGTGAGAGGTCAAGTGTGCTCCAAGTGAGATGGGCTGCGCCAGGCCTGGGACTCCCAGGCTCAAGCGGTGGTGAGGGGGGTTGGCCTGGAGAGGTGGCAGGCCACCTGTGAGTGGGACATCTGCACACTAGGCTCCCGGGAGCACGGTCCAGCAGGCAGCCAGACGTGAAGGCCTGGAGGCCAGGGAGAGGCCTAGGCCTTTGAGATATCAGTGTGTGGACAGGACAGAGGGGAGGCCAGAGGCCACCTGAGGAGTGTGGGCAGTGCTGGCCCACAACCAGGCCCAGATGGAGCTGTCCCCTGCTCTGCCACAGGGGACAACCACAGGGAGCAGCTTAGCGCAACACAAGTTTATTCTCTTCTGCGCGCAGGTCAGAGTGTGACACCACGGCCTCCTTGCCCCAGGTCGGGTGTCACCAGGGCAGGGCTGGCTCCTCCACAGGCTCTGGGAGAGGAGCCCTTCCCTGCTCTCACCAGCTTCGAGAGGATGCCGCCCACCTTCCTGGGCTTTGGGCTGCCCCCAAACCCTCTCCAAAGCCACTCTGCCTCCCTCTTTGCCTTATGAAGACCCTCTGGTCACACTGGGCCCACTGGGGCACTGCAGGTGAATCCCCACCTCAAGGTCACTGACCAGTGGCCTGAACTTGCCGAGCACCACAGCAGTCCACAGAGTCTGAGCATCAGGGTGCCAGCAGGCTGGGCCGCCACCTGTGCCCACTGCTGCTGACTCAGCCCCGCATCCCCCGAGCCTGGCCTGTGCTCAGCTCTGCCTCAGAGGGCACAGAGTAAGACGGGAACAGACGGGTCCAGGCCCTGACTCCCTCGGAACCCCGTGGAGGGAAGCCGAGGCTCCGGGGCACATCCTTCCTACAGGACAGGAGCTGAGACACCCCGTGTCCAGGACAGCAAAGGGCTACTCGGTGACGTGGACGCCTGCATTATGGAGCACTGCTCGGTCACCTTGTTCTGATATTGTTTTAGAGGATTTTTAAATGATGTGGAAATGCTCCTGTGAGGAGGTTCAGTGGGGGACAAAAGAGCAACGAGCGCTTGGCCAAAGAGGGAAGCAGGGGAGCCCTGGAAAGGACGGGGCCAGGACAGGCCGCTGGCCACCGAGCACGGTTGACACGCTGTTCCTGTTTTTCTCTCTGTTGGTGTTTAACAGGTTCAAACCTTGAATCAGCGAACGTGGGTGGGAAGGGGGCACAGAGGGGCACAGAGACTCTTGGTGCCATGCTGCTCCATTGTTGTGGGGGGTGGGTGGAAATCAGAGCCCCTAGGCTTCCGCAGCCCGTGTCACCCTGGTCCCCTGGGTGTGCGGGAGCACCTGTGTGCTTCCTGAGCTGGGCTAGAAGCATGGATTCCGGCCACGTGACCGCTGCGCTCCTGGTGGTGAGCCAGCCTGGTCTGAGTCACAGGCAAACCTGAGAGTAGGAGGCACAGAGCTTTCTTTTCCATGACTCAATCCAATTTTCGTTCTCGCCCCATCCTCCAGGGCTGCAGGGAGCATTGCTTTGGGGCCCTGGCAGACCCTTCCCCATAATGCACTAGGTTCCGAAGAGCGAGGTGTTCAGGGAATGATGTGGGTCTTCCAGAACATTGGTTGGCAGGGTGCTTGGTGACATGTGGCCAGGTGCCCCCGGAGACATCCCTGTGGCCTGTTTTCTGGCTGCCCATGACTTCCTGGGAGCATCCTGGTGTCCAGGCCCCTCCTGGCCTGTGGACAGGCGGCCATGTGCGCATTGCTGGTTTTATATAGGCCTCTGTGCATGCTCCTAGGTGAAGTTGGCCTTTAATTTTCTTTCCCTATTCTTTGCCCAGTTTTGTTAAGGTTATTTGATTTCCTACAGCGAGCTGGGTAGCTCTGTCTTCCTCTTTCTGGAACTTGGTAGAGTAAACCTGCCCCTGGCGTCTTCATGAAGCTCACGTATGAACCTATCCAGGGATTGAACTCAGGGGCCCTTGACCACTGAGCCCCATCCCCAGCCCTGTTTTGTATTTTATTTAGAGACAGGGTCTCACTGAGTTGCTTAGCAGTTCATGTTGGTGAGGCTGGCTTTGAACTCTCGATCCGCCCGCTGCAGCCTCTGGAGCCACTGGGATTACAGGTGTGGGCCACTGCACCCGGCTGGCTCTAATGTCTTTTTTGAGAATTTTTTTTTAAAGGTCTATTTCCTTTTGATTAGTGGTTTATGCAGATTTTCTATTACAGTTAATTCTGTATTTTAAAATTTTCCAGGATTTTTTATTCTCAAACTCGATAGCCTGCATGGATGGAATAGCTCGCTCTCTCTCTTTTGTGTGCCAGGATGGACCAGGGCCTGGGCATGCCAGGCAGCCTCTACCTCTGGCCACAGCCTCAGCCCCGGGAGCTTTCTCTTCAGATCTGGTGACAGGCTGGTTCCTGCTCTAGACGCCTTCTCAGCTCGCTTTCCTCGTCTCATTTAGTTTGCCGTAAATGCGGGGTGAGGGCTGGGTGTCGCCCCGCTGCCTGCTGTGACCAGGCCGTGCATGGTCCTGAGGGAGGGAACTAAGCAGGCAGCTGATTCCTGATTGGCAGTGGTGGTGGCTGTTTTTGATCAGAACACAAATGATTGTTACTTTAGCTAACGTTTTTAGACCTGGAGATGGACTAGCTCCTGACTCCCACTTGTATCTGTTTGTCCACTTACTGCTCAAAACTCAGCTTGGTAGCGACCCCTCAGGGAGACATGCTCATGTCATCACTTCCTAACAAGACAAACCTGCGATTTTCATTCACACTGTGACCGGAGTCCTGGACCACTTGTGGGTGTTTATTTCCGCGTCAGACAGATGAGGAAACCAAAGGTCCGAGAAGCACAGTAGCTTCCTAGACCCTCCGCATCGAGGTGGGAGGGCGCTTGGGCTGCCCTGCTCTCTGGCACATGGCTCCAGCTTCTCTCCGCACTAGAAACCAGGGTCTTTTGTCTGCTAGGCGATGTGGCAGGGTAGCCATGGAAACAACCCTCTGTGAGTCCTCAGAATAGACAGTTATTTCTGCACTTGACAGCATAGCTGCGGAAGGGGTGGGGCGGGCCTGGAGCAGAGGCTCCGCAGAATGGGTGGTGGCAGTCCAGACCCTTGGTGGGACCAGACCTCGTGCCCAGCTGGTGGTGGGCACAGGGAGAACCCCGGCTCATGTTGCTGACAGCTTGGGGCACAGCCCGTGCTGCTCCGAGTGGGCGTCCATCAAGTCCCGGAGCTGCCCGGAGGAGGGCAGGGTGGTGCATCTCACCGATGGAGCTGGGGGTCATCCCACCCCCGCTGCTGCCACAAGAGCCTGGGAGGCTGCTCTTTCCTCTGTGGCTTGAAACAACACAGCTCTAGAGGTCAGGGAGTCGGAGGCCGGCGGCACGGGTTCCTAGGGCCTCGGGCGGAGTCCGTCCCCAGCCTCCAGGGTCCTTGCCTTCCCCTCCCGTGGCTCCCCTCACCCTCCTCTGTGCTCTGTCTCTCCTCCCTCTCTTCCTCTGCCGTGAGCTTCCTGCCTCCCTCTCAGAGGTCCCTGTGTCGTCACAGGGTGGAAATCCAGGATCCCTGCCTTCAGATCCTTTCTCCGTGTGCACAGGCTCCCGGGAGCAGAGAGCAGACATCTTTAGAGGCTGCTGCCGCCTACCACGTTAAGGCATCGGGAGGTTAGGACGTTGGCCCAGGTCACACAGTCAGGTGGATCCCTGTCTCCTGCCACCAGCCGCAGCTCCTTCTGACTCCCCAGAAATGCTGAAGGCTGAAAACTCAGGGAAATTGTGGGTGAGCCAGGCTCACCTGGCGGGGCTGCGTGGGGGCTCCCAAGGCGCATCCCTGACCCTGCACATGGAGCAGAAAAGCCAGATGGCCTGTCCCCCCAGCAGTCTGGGGGCAGAGTCAGACCCAGCTGCCCCCAAATGGGAGCAGCCAGTGCTCAGGCCCTGCAGCTGGATGCTGAGGCTGGTGAGGCAGAGAAGTGGGCCCGTGGGAGGGGAGGCCAGGGGCACGGGTGGAGGAAGTCCCACATGGACAGGCTTCACGGGGAGAGCGTCCCTTACTCTGAAGGGACAGAGCCACAGGGTGCCTGAGTGTTCGGCAGGCTCTCCCTGGTGGCCAAGTGGAGAACAGACTAGGGGTGAGGTTGGAAACTGGGGACCAGTTGGGGGCTAGCCTGTTAGCACAGGGCAGAGACGCAGTGCTCAGAGCATGGTGGGCTGGCCCAGGAGGAGAGGGTCACGTCCTCGCCTCACGAGCCTGCTGGAGCCATGGGTTGGGTGGAGGCAGGCTGGAGGGTCTGGGGATGGCTGTCTGGAGACGAGGCTCCTGCCGTGTGGAGGAGATGGGGAGACCAACTGACGTGCAGCAGGGACCAGCAGGCATCACGGGTGAGCAGCCCTTGGTCTCCCTCAAGGTGGGGAGAGGCCTCTGAAGCCACAGCAGTGCCCAGCCTAGGGCAGGATCCTGTCAGGCCACCCTTGCGATCCGGTGCTGGACGTCACCAGTAGGAGGCAGCAGAGGGCAGCACTGGAGAGTAGATCTGGGTTCAGAGTCACCACTTTCTCCAGCTCTGACCCCCGGGCGTGGTTTTCAGTGTCTGCCTTGGTTTTCTTGGCTATAAAATGGGGGATAATTAGGGTATCAATTTGATACTTTAATTCAGGGATTAGATGAGGTAATATAAGGGAAGACTTCACAGAATCTGACACAGAATAAACGTGTCACTGTTCCCACAAATGAGCCCTTTTAGGTGCCGGTTCTTCCTCTGCTGGATGATAGCTGGGCCAGTGCCTGTTATGTTTGGTTGTAGGTCTGACAAATGAACAAATGACCTACAGACAGACAGCTGAGCCCAGGGTGGAAACAGTCTCCTGGCCCTCTGACCCATGGGCTGGGCACTCCAGTGACAGTGACCGACTCTCTCTGCAGTCTTTGAGGAACCCGAGGACCCCAGCAACCGCTCCTTCTTCTCGGAAATCATCTCCTCGGTGTCAGACGTGAAGTTCAGCCACAGCGGCCGCTACATGCTCACACGGGATTACCTCACGGTCAAGGTCTGGGACCTGAACATGGAGGCGAGGCCCATAGAGACCTACCAGGTGGGTGCCACCGCCTGAAGACCTCAGGCCGCTCCACAGGTGGGGTCCCACAGGAAATGTCCCTGCACCTGGGGCCTCGGTTTTAAGGAGATGGTGAAAACGAAGATGGACTTCAGGCTGGGTCTAATGCGGGGTGCAGGGTGCACCCCTCCTCCAGCATCTGCAGTCCTCCTGCTAAGTGAGGAGAGCGCTGCCCTCACCCGGGAGCAGCCGGGGCAGGGAGCGGGCAGGGGAGTGGGGAGCGGGCAGGGAGTGGGCACGCCTCTAGGCCTCAGCACAGGGCTGTGGGCCGGGTGCAGGGTGAGAGCCGGCGCCTCCCTGGGAAGGGTGTGCGTGTGTTTTCCTCCCAAGTTCCACGCAGAGCCTGTGGGTGGGCGGCCAGCTTCACGGGGTGCTAGACTCGCACGTGGAGCTGCGGGGGCAGGCTTCCTGGAAGAGGAGGCATTTGTACTAGACCTGGAGGCATGAGCAGGATTTGGTCATGCAGATGTAGCCAGAAAACACCCACCAGAAGCCCAGCTGGATCCTCATGGCGTCACCTGGGATGAGTGCATGGGGTGTCACATCTGCCACACATGGGGTCACCTCCATTCCTTACTGCCCCTATGAAGAGGGTGTTGTCAGCCCTCCTGCAGAAAGGGAAGCCCGAGCTCTAAGGGGCTGGGGTACGAGGGAGGCGACCCTGATTCAGTGACCCACACCCAGCTCCCTCCCGGAGGCCTGGGAGGGGCGTGTCTTGTTAGGCACAGGGGTGGGGACTGGGAAGGAGCACAGAGCTCAGAAGACAGGGCACTCCGAGGCTGAGCTGGGCCGTGTGAGCAGTGCCCCTGGAGGCCACGTGCCCATGGAGCATCTCCTGGTGACGGCCTCTTATTTGGCCACGGGTGAGGTACTGAGCCCCCACTCCACCCCCACTGCACACCCTGGACAGGGATAGGCTCTTCTGTGTCCCTCTAGAAATAGCAGAGGCTATGGGACAGGGACAAACCATGCCTTTCATGACCCTGTGGTCAGTGCAGACCCGTGAAGCACACGCCTCGATTTCAGGCGCTTTGAGAGGGGGGTGTGGAGTCTCTTGTGGGTCTCAGACCGGCTGGGGACACAGCACATGACGAACCATGTGCCAGGCTTCGTGGGGAGCAGGGTCCCTTGGGCCACCTGCAGCACCTTGCAAACAGGGCTCTTTCTCTCCACCACGAGGAGTCTGGGGAGGGCAGCCCAGGAGCGGCCAGTTCCTGTGATGTTGTCCCTGTCCCTGCTCTCACCTGGCCCTCCTCTCACCAGGTCCATGATTACCTTCGGAGCAAGCTCTGTTCCCTGTACGAGAATGACTGCATCTTCGACAAGTTTGAATGTGCCTGGAACGGCAGTGACAGGTGAGCCCAGCCTTGGCCGCCCTGCATGTGGCAGGAGTGTTCTCGACCTGCAGGAGCTCAGCGGGCGACTGGGGCGATTGGGGCAACCGTCTGGGGTGGACACGCCTTGCTGAGTGAAGGTGTCGGTGCGAGGCCACACCCTGGGGCCATCACGCGTGATGGCTGAACCCTAGTGCCTTTTCTCCATGAGGCAGAAGCATATGCCACCTGGTCACTGCCATCTGTCCACACCTATGGGCCCCAAGATGGCCTCACTTCTCTACAGCAGTGACCATTGGTCCACCTGGCCCCTGCTCCCGCCATCATTGTGGCCACCATTGGCCACAGCCCTGAGCAGGCCTTCCATTATCCATCCATGCAGTGGGGAGAAGGGGCGGGGTCCAGGGGCATGGCCCAGCTTGTCCACTCACGTGGATGGCCCCTGCCACACACCTCCTACTGGGCAGTCGGCCCCCTGAGCTGCTGAGGGCTGCCATGCTGCTGTAGTCCTGGAAGGGGCTGGGCTGTGACCTGCTGTGGCTTTGGACACAGGGCTGGGAAGAGTGGGGGACAGCGACTGGACCAGGGCTAGGAGGAAGCCACAAGGAGGCAGGCCTGGCCCCAGGTGGGCGGAGCCAGTGGTAACAGGAGCCCCTGGGCCTGCTGATGTCCTGGGGCAGAGCTGCCTGCAGGGCCTCCGACCAGAGCTGTGTGCGGTGGCCAGCCCGGTAGTCACAGGGGGTCCACTGAAGGACGCATAGAAAGCCAGGATGGCCCCCCAGGACCCTCTCTGGCCTGTGGACTGACCCCACCCCGAGGAGGTGGGAGTGCTCAGACCCTCCTGTCCTGTGGCCCTCCCATACTTGGGGACTCCCTGGTGAACACTGGGAGGTGCAGTGAGAATCTCAGGAGAGGGACTTGGTGCTGAGCTACTAGGTATGTCCTTCCTCCACACGGGCACCAGGGGGCGCTTGTGACCTGGCGACGTCTGCACCCAGAGCCAGAAGTGCTGAGCTCCAGTGGCTGGTGCGTGGCCTCTGGGGCTCAGCTGTCCTGTTCCCCACCCAGCACTTCCTGTGGGGTGCACCTTTCAGGCCAGCTGTCCCGGCCCTGGTGGTCCCCACCCCTCCCTGCTTCCTGCTCCCGCCCCCAGGAACCCGCCCTGAGTGCTCTGCTCCTGGGCGGCTCCTCCTGGCTTCCTGCAGGAAGCCCTGGGGTCCTCCCATGCCCCCCGTAGCCCCCTGGGTGTTCCTCTCCTGTCCTGCCACCTACACGGGCTTTCCCATGGCCTCTGTCCTCTTGGCCTCCTGACCAGGACTAGACGGAGCCCCAAGGTGGGGTGGGCTGGGGTTCAGTCCGAGTGCAGCCCTCATTCAGCCAAGGGCTTTCGCATTTCTGGGGCACAGAGGCACCGGGCCACCTCTGAGCTTGGCCTGCCGGTGGCTGGGATCCCATGCTGCCCTTTGGGACTTCGGGGGCTCAGGGAGAAGCTATGCTGCCCCAGGATCCCACTCTTGCACAATGAGGCAAAATCAAGCCCACGGCCCGCAGCCGTGCTCCCTGGCTAATGGGAAGCTGAGCCCCCACGGGACAGAGGGGCAGTGAGGAGGTGCTGGTGCCACATTTTGTGTTGGGCGACAGCCCTGCAGTGACCCACCCATTCCAGCAAGGCACACGGTGGCTTCCTCTGGAGAGTGCCTTGTTAAGTCGCTGGGCCCCTGAGTCTGCCCACCTGGAAAGTGACACTAATAAAGCCTGGCCGTCCATGGCTATCTTGTGAGCCCTGGCCGGGTGGCTCATCTGCGCCTGTGCACACAGTTGGCAGGCCTGTGTTCTCCCTGGTCACCCGTGGGAGAATCCTGCTGCCCTCTGTGACAGCTCCAACACATTCCTGTCCCTGAAGCCCTCTGCAGCCTGTCCTCTTGGAGCATCTCTGGTTGCAAGGCTCGGACAAGCCTCGTCTCCCTGGAGAAGTGCAGCAGGGCTCCCCAGGGCTGGCCGCATCCTGGGGACCTCTCTTCTTTGTCCTGCCCACGTCTGCCCCCCTGCCTCCCCTCTGCCCTTCCTCCTCCCTGCTGGGATGACAACCCCCAACAGTCCCCCTTCCATCACCTTCACAGCCCCCACCCCTCTTCCAGAGTGACACAGACACAGCCACTTTCTGAGGTCCCAGTAAGGCATGAAATGACCCTTAATCTGCCTGTCCCTCCCTCTCCCTTTCTCTCTCTGCCCCTCTCTCCTTTTCTTCCTCCCTATCTTCCTCCCCCACTTCTCTCCCTGGTGACTCCCCCTCCTCTTGCCACAGGCCTGCAGGTCACAGGTGACGCGAAACCCTAAACCTACCAGTCCCAGAGCACTGCACTTCCCCTGTGGTACCCTTGGAACCTTCCAAAACTATCCATAAGTGCTTGTTCCTCAGACTCCTCTGGTCACCACTGGCATGTGCTCTCATTGAGACCCTGAGTGAACCCTCACCAGGTGGGCCTGGGTGCCCCAGGGACACCCACAGAGGAGCCTCCTGTGGCTCACTGCCCACCTTGTCCCTCAGAGCCAGCTGGGTGGAAGGGAGGTGACAGGCAAGGCCTCCACTGTGGCACAGTCCTCCCATGAGAAGGAAGCCTTGATAAGAGAGACGTGTCCCCTGCAGCCTGGGTATACCATCATCCAGGGCCATGGGCCAGGTTCCTGAGCCCCACGGGACGCCCGTCCTGTCCCCGCACGGTGCTTGGGAGGAGCTTGCCTCAGAAGCACAGCTCGGCCTCCAAGAGGAGAGAGCCCCGTGGGGCCAGCACCTCCCGGGGGTGCAGGCCAAACCTCTGCACCCCTCATGGCTCTTGGAGGCCCCTCCTCCTCTCCAGGTACCTCCCCACACACAGCTGCTCTGGCCTCCCCTGGGCCCAGGCCTGCGCACTCTCCCCTCCAGGGTCTTACTCTGTGTGTACTCTTAGCAGTTCCCTCCGCAGGCAGAAGTCCTAGTTAGGAGAGGGGAGAGGACAGGGGGCGTGGAGAGTGCAGACCCTCATCAGGGAGCTGGAGACACAGGGGCACTGAGCCTCTTGCAGCCTCTCTACAGCTATGGCTCCTGGGAGCAGGGCGCCTGGGCCTGAGGAGGCGGGTGGGAGGTCCAGAGGCCTTGCCCAGCTGAGTGCCTGGCCCGGCCGCCTCAGTGTCCTTCCCTCTGCAGTTGCAAGTTTTAGGGCTGCCTGGCCTGCACCCAGGGGAATGCCCAGAGGGGGTTTCTGCTATGTTGGGGTCTCGGCCCCTGCCCCAAAGTCTGCGTAGTGATAGCAGCTGAGAGGCGCAGAGGAGACCTAGGGAAAGGTGGCGGGAGGCAGGGTGGCTCTTTCCAGGGACGCTGGCCACGGTGGGGTGCTCGCTCTCCCCCACCACTGACCCCTCTTGTCCCGCAGTGTCATCATGACGGGGGCTTACAATAACTTCTTCCGCATGTTTGACCGCAACACCAAGAGGGACGTGACCCTGGAGGCCTCGAGGGAGAGCAGCAAGCCCAGGGCCGTGCTCAAGCCGCGGCGCGTGTGCATGGGTGGCAAGCGGCGGCGGGACGACATCAGCGTGGACAGCCTGGACTTCACCAAGAAGATCCTGCACACGGCCTGGCACCCAGCCGAGAACATCATCGCCATCGCGGCCACCAACAACCTCTACATCTTCCAGGACAAGGTCAACTCCGACATGCACTAGCACACAATGCCCTGGCTGTCCCAGCCCGACTCTTGCAGATTGTCCCCGACCTTCAGCAGCAGTGCAGGAGGGAGGTCAACTCCAGAGGTGGCCATGGGGGACACGGGTGACTTGGGCCTGTTCCCCCCAGTTTCCCTAGACTAGCGTCGTGATGATGACCATTTAAGAGAAGAAAGGACTCAGGGCCACAGGTGGTAAAAATGGGCGTGACTGCCGAGTCTCAGTTCAGGGTCCCTTCATTCAGGAACCTTCCTGCCTCGGCCTACGGTCTTTCCACATTTTTAGAACTTTTCATGTGTCTGGGTTAATTTTTCATGCCCGCAGGTCCTTCCAGGAGGAGCAGGAGCTGGTCCCTGATCTGGCTCTGGGGACGTCGGGCTCTTTGGACTGTGAATGGAGCAGCTTGCCCGTCTCAGACGGTCCCACCTGGGTCTCAGGTGGCGAATTCCTGCTGAGACTTTGCAGATGCAGGCTCTGTGCTCTGGTCTCTGAATGGTCGTGAGCCCAGGCCAGCTGGTCCGTTTCCTGAGATGAAGCGTGGGCCTGGCACCCTCTCCTCATCATCTGCCTCTGCCCAGCAGAGCGGCTGTTGCTTCTGGGAGTGGCACAAGCCGGAGGTGCACCTGGCCTGAGCTGCGGCACCTCCACCTCTTCCCTCCACACTCATGGACGTTTTGCCTGAACAGACGCTGGCTGCAGCCTGTGGACTGTATTATTCCTCTCTCGACCTCGAGGTGGGTGTCTGTTCATTTCCTCCATAAGCAGAACTGCTCCCGAGTGCCCTGCTGCAAGGGGCTGTGGGTAGGGATAAAGGTGAGCGGTACTGTCCTCTTTTGTACATGGGGACACCGAGGCTCTGAGCAGACAGGCCAGTTGCCCAAGGCAGGCACCCACTAAGTGGTAGGGTCAGGGATCCCTCTGGGTCTTCTCACAGGCTCTTTATGGGCCACCATTCTGATGGAAGGTTCTGGAAGGGGACACCTCTCCATCTTATGAAGAGGAGAGTAGGCATCTGTGTGACAGGGAAGATGGAGAAGCTGGTGGCTGCTCTCTCTGGGTGGCGAGGTTGTGAGCTGTTCCTCCACGGACTCTGGGCTCCACCTGGGACGTACCTGCTCCTCCTCCCAAAGACAGGACCATGCATGTCGTGACCATTAGGATATTTTCTTTGAGGATCACACACAGTCCCAGAGGACACTCAGAGGATGTCAACCCTGCTCTGCCAAGACCAGAGCCCTGACCTGCAGTGTCCTCCCGTGGAATTCGGCAGGACCACGTGGCTGGGCATCTCCGTTGAGAAAGCAGGGAGCAGCGGGAGCCGGCCGAACCCAGCTGCATCCCTTACGACTTGGACTACAACCCAGGAAACAGACTCCGCTGGGGTCTCAGTGCATTACGGAAAACTTGTGTGTGTGTGAAAGCACAAAACGCATGTCCTCTCACTTCCAGCCATGTTATTCACACACAGAAATGGGTCCACTGGTCTTTCTTTTACTTTTTTTTTTTTTAACAATGTGAATGAAGAACGTTTGTTTATATGTCACTACAAAATCCAGGCAGCCTGGACAGTATTATATGTACATATTTATCCTAATTCAGTTTAACAATCGAAGGATCAGGTGACCTTCCTGCCCTGTGAAGGGGTTCGAGAATGTGGTGAGTGTATAGTGATCTGTGGACGCCGAAGCCCAGCACTCAGCTGGGGGACCTTGGCCTCCTTCCTTGAAGCCTGCCTTTGAAGCTAGCAGTCACTGTCCAGCCACAGGGTCAACATTGACCTGATCTTCATCTTCAAAGGGGGTTCTTAAGTGCAGTTCCTCCGTCCTCACTTCTTCGGTTTTAAACTTTGGGAACCAAACCAAAAAGAAGAGAAAGACAGAAAAAGATCGTCTTGGAAGAAAAGTCTGTCTTTGTGTCCCGGGAAGATGCCCCTGCCTGAAGCAGACTGTGGCTCACAGAGCGTGTGCAAGAGGCGGCGGGGGGGGGGGCGGGCGCAGGAAGGGGCACCCTCCTGTTTAAACTCCCTGGTCTCCTTGAATGTCTGGGCGTCACACGGTCACTGTGGCCTTGTCGGGCGTTTTGATCTTCTCCTCATCTGACTGCTCTCTGGGGAGGAGGCCCTGGCGTGGCGTGGGTAGTGGCGTGGGTGGTGCTGGTGGCGTGGGCCTGGTCATTTTGGACTCTGTGATGCATAGGTGCATTCTTTTTTTCTTCCATGTCTCACAAATTATCCAACTGTTGAATAAAATTATAAATATGTTAATACCAGCTTTTTCCAATAAAATAACAAATGTTACATCTAACACGAGGCCCAGAATGCCGTGTGTGCTTAGGCGGCAGTGGTGGGGTTACTCCCGGGCCTCTCCGGGGCCTGGTGCCCAGCAAGGCTTTGCCGCCCCAGGGCCTCCTGCCGCCCCAGGGCCTCCTGCTGCCCCCGAGCTCTGATCCTGGAGCCAGCGCTGAGGAGCTGGAGCTGGCGGAGTGCCTGCCTTGTGGGTCTGGCATGCGGATGGCCAGCAGGAGGACTTGGACAGTGTGGCACGTCGCACTCAATGAATGATAGTGTCTTGTTCTGTTTCGAAGCAGGTGTGCATAGCCCATGTATTTCCAAACTCTCCTGTGCTCTCCACAGGACTGTCATACCGACGAAGAAACTGAGGTTCAGAAAGGCCGAGGACTTGCTGCAGATCACAGCTAGTCACAAAAGGGCACATCCCACTTGGGCTGCTGGCCAGCTCCTCCTGCAGTGCTCCCTAGCAGCAGTATACGCATGGGCTTCTGGGTCCCCCAGCATGGCCAGCTGGTTGGAGAGAGGCCACAGGGGCCTTCACTCAGGAAGCCAGAGGCCCAGCCTCATCTGTTTTGATTGCTGGTAGACAGGAGCACATGTGGGGACGTGCTGTGCATCTGTCACCCCAGCCTAGGCCTCATCTGCACTTTCTAGAAGGAGTCATATCCCCAGACCTAGCAGGACAAGGACAGGAGCCCCCTGTGGGTTTGCTGGCAGCATCTACCTTGGATAAGCTCCCCATTGACTACTTAGCCCCCAGGACAGCACGAGGGAGAAGGTCACTTCCTGGCTGGGTGGCAGTGGCTGACCTCTCTGATCCATACATGTAAACAGAGGGCACAACACCTTCTCAGCAGCTGGACGACTAAGGAGACGTTAGTTCCCTCACTGGCCCTGGTTCCACGGGGCTGGGTGTGACTCAGCCCATACATGAGAGCATTATCCCTTGTGCAGACCCCTGTGCAGAGCGTGGTGACAGTACTATGGTTATGCCCATTTCACATATGGAGAGACTGAGGCCTAGGGGGATTAAATAGTTTAGTTTATGCCTAAGCTCATAGAACTGTAAGTGGTGGGATCGGGGTTAAACCAGGATGGCGAAACCATGGGCACACGGTGGAAGCTGGGCATGATGACATGTCGTGTCCTCAGCCCCACCAAAGCCACCCTTAGCCAACAGTGAGGGAGCGTCCGCTCTGGCACCCTGCGGAAGCACCGAGGTGGAGATGGAGATCATGCTGGGTTACCCAGGTGAGCCGTCTTCTCACCCTTGACACTGGAGACTCACGCTGGTGGGTGGGGAGGGGAGGTAACAAAGGAGAAGGGGGCGGGGCAGTGTGACGTGACAGCACCACCCATGGCTCTGAAGATGGGGGGCAGGGACCTCGGCAGCCTCTGGAAGCGGGAAGAGACGGGGCGTGGACTCTGAGCCTGCAGGAGACCAGCCCACTTGGCATTAGCCCAGGGAGGCCCACATGGCACCTCTGACCTCCCAACTGTACAACAATAAATGTGTGCTCTGTTAAGCCACTGAGCTTGTGGTCATTTGTCACAACACCCTAGGGATCCATACACCTAGGTGCCTTACCACCCCCTGCACCCGCCACCCCCGTTCACAGCTGCAGATCTCAGCGAGGCCAAGGCCGTGCAGAGGTCATCAGCGTGCAGGGACACCTGAAAGGGAAAGTGCTGAAACGGATGTTCCCGCCAGCGTCCCAGCCCTTGCCCCCAGAGCTAACCGTGCCCTTTACCCCCCATGAACCTCCTGAGCTGAGCCTGAGCCCCGTCTCCTCCTGGCCCCTCAGCCCTGCCTCCCACCCCCCATCACAGCCCCCTGTTCCCTGTGGGGGGCCTCAAGGGACCAGGCTTCTCTCTCCACCATGTCCAGTGCCTGGCCAAGGCCTGGTGCTGCGGGCCCTTGAGGACCAGCTGCCCAGCAGAGCCCATTTGGAGGAGTGGCCCCTGTGGGAGGCCCAGGTTTAACACACCCTTTTACCACCAGCCACTCCCGAGGGCCAGCAAAATGGCAGTAAGACATAAAACGCAGGAGCCACAGGGCAGAGAACAGAGGGGGGACAGCCTTGAGGCTTCTAAAGCAAGCAGCGGGGAATGGCTTGGAGACAGAAAGCCAGCCATGGTCAGCCATCAGGACACCATCTGAAGACTGGCTAGGAAGTGCACCTGTGGGGACACCTCCACCACTTGTGGCCTCAGCAGCTGCTGTGAGGGCTTGGTGCAGTCAGCCAAGGAGGCAGCCAGGCAGGGCAGCTGCTATGCAAGAGAGGAGGGAAAACACCCCCAAGCCAAGGAACCTTCAGGTGCATGTAGTAACAAAGATGTTCTTGAAAATATGCTGTAATAGCCAGGCTCAGTGGTGCACATCTGTGATCCCAATGACCAGAGGCTGAGGCAGGAGGGTTGCACGTTCAAGGCCAGCCTGGGCAACTTCAGGACACTCTGTCTCACAATGAAAAATCTTTTAAAATTTAATTTTAAGACCATGGTGTGCCGGGAATGTAGTTCAGTGGTCCAGGGCCCTGGGGTTCAACCCCAGGAACACACGTGTGCACACTCACACACACTAACTGCACCGAGAAGATATGTAGGCCACACAGACAGGAAACGTCAAGGAACATAAGCCATGAAATTAGAAGTGTCATTGCAGAAACAAAGATTTCCACAGAGGTTGGAAGGGAGAGTTGAGACAATTTCTCAGGAAGTAGAATTTTAAAAGTCAAAGAGAGTCTCAGAGAAAAATAATCTCTTTGAGGTCTCAACATACCAAGAGGAGGGGCTCAGGGAGGCGAGGAGAAAAGAGGGGAAGGGAAATGATTAGAGAAAAGTTTTCTAGACCTGAAAAATCAAAATTCCCACCTTAAAGAAATCACGGTGTCCAGCACACTGGATGAGGTAATACGTATGTCAAGGCCATTGCTATGAACTCTCGACACTAGGGACAGGGACAACGAGGAGGGACAGTGTGAAGGATGCCTGAAGAGTCGGACTGTCCTGGGCTGCCCCAGAGCAGTAGGAGAAGTCGTGAACATTCTCACCCAGAACCTGTCAGACTCACTCTGTGGGTGAGCTGGGGGCACAGCTGAAGCTTCACGTTCTAGAACAGCCTCACCTGCACATGTGGCAGTTGGCTTGAGGTCAGATGTGGCAACCTGACTGCCATCAACATTTGCCATTGTGCCATTGGCCACAACAGCTCGCAAGGCCAAGACCAGCATCCGTGTGAGAGGAGATGGCCCAGGGCTTGGGTCCATGTGGGTTTAAAAACTCCTCCCACTGGGTAAACGCCCTTCTCTGGAAGGGCTGTGACCACTGTGCTGGTACAGGGGACCCTGCTATCTTCCTCCCTATGCAAAGGGACATGTTCCAGACATGCCCGACATGGGGGCCTGAAGAATTAGAGAGAGAATGAATGGTTGCATGAATCCATGAGTCAATGTATAAATGATCAAAAGAATAAATGGAAAAATCGTGAAGAGTGATCGTGTGGACGAGAGCGTGATGGCTCATTTCCCACCAGCTCACAACAACCCTGCAAAGCAGCTCTCTGTGATCCTGGTTTCACAGAGAAGCCAACTGAGGCCTAGGAAGCTAGGAAGCATGTGGGAGGCCCATGGATATGATAAGGACAGCCGCAGTGGTACGTGGTGAAGGGAGGCAAGGAGGCTCAGGAGTCTGACAAACCTTCCAAAGTCAGTGACCAGAGGCTGGGAGAGCAGAGATTAGATGGTGTATTAGTCTATCTGCTGCTGCTATAATGGAAGGCCTGAGGCTGGGTACTTTATAGAGTATGGAAGTTCATTTGGCTCACAGTTTTGGAGGCTGAAAGTCTGAGATCTGTGGCTGCATCAGTTTGACCTCTGGTAAGGGCACCCTTTAGCCATGTCACAACATAACAGAGGAACAGCAAGGGAAACAGACACAGGCAGAAGGGGCCCAGCATGTGGGCCAATCTTGTTTTAAAACAACCGATTCTTGCACAAACTAATTCACTCTGAATACTATGGGTCCTGGCTCAGGGTCTCCTGGGAGTTTGCCACCTAGTCATTGGCCACGCCGCCGTCTCTGAAGAAGAGCCAGCTGGGAGTGGCAACTTTGTCCCAGCTCTCTGGGATAGCTGTTGGCCAAGGCCTCAAGCCCTGGACACGTGGGCTCCTCCACAGAGCCACTCAATGCAGTGGATTCACCTGGAGCCACTGATCTGAGATAGGGCCACAGTCTTCTTATAAACCAACCTCAGAAGTGACAACTCATCCCCTCTCCACTTTCTGCTGGTCACAAGGACTGCTGTGCTGGGGGAGGTGTGGGGACACCACAGGAGTCTCAGGCAAGCAGCTGAACTTCTCTGCAAACCCTGTATGCCCAGCTTCCCGGGGACAACACGGGGGTAATATCAACCTTGGGAGCTAAGTGAGCCTGGGGCCGATGCAGCAAAAGCAGTCTCCAGTGTTGTGGGGAGCCAGCTGGCTGTCCCCTCTGGTGGCCCTAACACTCTCCCCTGGTGGGGCTGAGCTTTTGGGTCTCTGCAAGCTCCTGAAGAAGTCAGGAGCGATGGACCTGGCCACCTCACTGCTGGCCCTCCAGGGACAGGGCCCTGTGTCTCAGCCCCAGGGGCACTTTCAAAATCCGAGTATCCAGGCCCCTGGCTCCTCTGGGGGCTCAGCCGTCTAGAGAGTTTGGTCAGGTGACTGTCACTTCTGGACAGGGAGGTGAGGGAGCGGAAGGCAAACTGCTTTTCAAAGTTAGGCTGCCACCGACCACTGGATGAACCTCTGTAACAAAGGGCTGCCAGCCTCCCAGGGTGGTTTCCTAGCAACACAGAAGCTTTTAGAGCCTGAAATAATTTCTTATGTGGGGAGCGATTCTTCAAACTGAGGTCCTTTTTTAAAAAAAAAAAAAAAAAAAACAACAAAGCCCCATTATCTTTACCTGGATGCTGTTAGAATTAGGCAGGAGGCCCACACAGTCAGATGACAGGGTGAGTTTCAGAGAGGGATTAAAAGTCCACAAAAGGCAGCGATATTAGGAGGAAAAAAGTAAAAATGAAAAATGTAAGAATTCCATTATTAGCTCTATATCGCCCCCCAAAAAATCCTGAAATGCAAAATAGATGTGGATGTTTGGAGAAGTGAATTATTCATGTGTTACTTGCAGAGCCTCTGAAAGGTGCAAATGGGTGTGCCCTTTGAGAGTCAGTTTTCCTTCAGGAAGGTCAGCACTTGTCTTCAAATGTGGCTCACCAGCCATTTGTTCATTCAGTGCGTTTTCTGAGCACCTACTTTGTGAGCGGCGATGAAGCTCTGGACACCTGGATTTCTGGTCCTGGCTTTGATGCCAGCTATGGATTTTGGGGTGTCTCGCTGTGCCAGCTGTGCCTCGCTGTTCTCACCTCCCTCACATTGTGACTGACTGAGTGGAGTCTTGCTCAGCGGCAGCTGGGTCCCAGCCATCCGTGGGGGAACGTGGACAGTCTGTGCCCTGCTGGGATCTGGAGGCCAGTTGGGGGCAGTCACTGCAGCCTGCAGGAGGTGGGGCTGGAGCACGGGGCCTGAGGCAGCCCCAACAGCAGCCTGGAAAGGGACTGCGGAAACGAGAAGCGCTGAACTGCCCCACCATTTCCTGGGACCCTGTTTGCCAAGCTGTTTCCTCCATCCCAGCGTCGCGCTGGGGATGGAAGGCAGAGCTGCTTCCCAAAGCCCGGCACCAGCGCTCACTGCTCCATCGAGCTTCCTCCAGGGATTGCCTCCAGAACCGACGGCCATGGCCTGCCAGGCCTGCTGGGAAGGTTATGGGGGTGCTCTCCTCCCCTGCAAATGGAGCCTCACAGGTCTTCCAGGCACAGCCCCCCAGAGCTCAGCCCTGAACTACAAGGACCCAGAAAGCCAGGTGGGGCTCCTTCGGGACAAAGGCCAGATCCCTTGTCACCTCCCAGCCACATGGAGTTCTCCTGTCCAGCCTCGGGTCACGCCATGTTGGGGCCTTGCATAGTGGACACCCTCCCTATTGGCCTCTGTGCTTCCTCTCCTTGCTTTTCCTGCCCCCTTCAACCTCAGGCTGGAAGGCCACTCTCTGGATCCCCATAGCACTTCCTGTTGAGCACTTGGGCCATCTGCCCCCTACTCCCTGCGGGCTATGAATTTTGAGGCAGGGACGGGGTTTGGCTCAACTGGGGAGTCACAGTGCCACCTCAGTGTCACATAGCAGTACATACTGATCCAGCACAGTAATGGCCTTCAGAGCAATTGGTAAGGTAGAGGAACATTCTAGATAGGAAGTCACACTACAGAATACACTTCTGGCTGTGCAGTTACTTATGCAGACAGAACATTAGGAGACGCTACACCCTTTGTTTGAATTCAGCCCCTCTGATCAGTTCCAATCTAAACAGTTATTTTCACTAAGTTTTAAGTTCTTCCAAAGCTAGCAAGGACTTCACAATTCTCCTGATGAGAGCTGGTCTAAAGGTTCTTAGTTTTTAAGTTCCATGAATGTTTAACCTTTAAAAAAAATTACCAAATATTTATGGAGCATTTACTAATGACATTCCAACTGACTCATCAGGAATCTCATTCCCCTCAAAAGAGCCAGGGAGGCAGAGGAGGAAGTGGGCCCAGGCAGCCTGGGCTTGCCCAGGATCATGCAGTTGGGAGGGCCTAGGAGTGGGATCAGCACCCGCAGCCACACTGCTACTCCGGGCTGTGCCTGCTGCTCCTGAACTGCTGGGTGCCCCTCCCACTCTGCAGGAGCACTGCATGACATTCAGGTCATTTAAAAGGGGGTCACTGAGCCAGGGAACCTGTAATCCCAGGGGTTCGGAGACTGAGGAAGAAGGATTACGAGTTTGAGGCCAGCCTCAGCAATTTGGCAAGATTTTCTCTCTAAATAAAAAAGGGCCAGGGATGTGGCTCAGGGGTTAGGTGCCCCTGGGTTCAACCCCAGAACCAAAAAACAAATAAAAAGGTCGGGGGATCATTGCTAAGAAGCTGTGAAAACCACTGATCCAGACTTCCTGTTTCACAGGTCGAGGCACAGAGGCCTGGGGACAGTGCCTCTGAAGGGCTTCTGGTCACTGAGGACTTCATGGTAAATGAGAGGGAGAACATGGGATCGGTGCCCAAGGCGGACACTCACCACAAGTCACACAACCCTCCTCCAAGCTGGCAGCTCTGCTGATTGGCTAGGAGCTAACAGTGGGGTCCCAGGAGCAGCAAGGTGGGCCAGGGGCCAGGGCAGGTGCATCTCGGTCCTATCCTGGTTCCGCTGCTAATGTGTGCCGGGACCTCCTCTCTGAACCTCAGTGGCCTGCTGCGGCTGTCACAGTACTTCCATCAGTGGGGCTGTGAAGACGAAGGGAGACCATCTGTGTTGGCCCTGGGAGTGTCCAGTGACTTCCCCCGCTGGACAGTCAGTGGTACATCTGGGGGGCAGCATCGCATTGTGAATGCATCTCTTGGTATCACGATTGGCGGGATGGGGAGAGGGAGTGGGCTGCCCTTGAACCTCACCCTACTTTCCAGGGAAGAATTAGGAGCAAACACACCCAAGCCATGGAGGCTCTCGAGCATGCCCTAAACGCGTGGGGTCCTAAGTAGAGCCTATGGGCAGGAGGGACAGAGCTACACCCAGACCAGTGTCACGGGCAGTGCTGGATGACAATGCAGCAGCCACGTCCCAAACCCCGAAGGCAGCCCACGGAGGGTGTGTGAATCAACTCCATGTTCCCCAACCACAGCGGGAGAAGCCTACCTACAAGGAGCAGGAGGGGGTGCTAGACATGTCCTCATCCTTAGGAGGGAAACCAGGACCCAAGGGACCCAGGTTCATCCCAAGTGGGGTCCCCCACTGGTCCAGCACCTAGGAATGACTTAAATTCTGATTATAATCCTATGAATTACCATGGTACCTGACTGAGCCCGGGACCTTTTACCAACAGATACACTACCCTGGTGGGGTGTGCTATCATCATGAATTTATATGGATGCTGTTTCATTAGCAATTTGAGTTTCAAAGCAACCGTGACCACTTTTCACCTAAAGATCCGACAGCAGCTGGCATTCCATGCTTGTGGGCACTGGGCATCCCTGCTGTCCCCCACCGGAGGGTTATGGCAGAGACCCTAAGGCCCCGCATACTTGGGGTGGCTGCAAGGTCTACTCCTGGGCAGGGGATCAGCCACGTGAAGGTCAGTTCTGCCTTCCAAACCCCAAGTGTGCATTTCATTCCACACGAGTGTGGATGCTGGCTGATGCTCACATACAGCAGAGTCACAGGCAAAGGAGAGAGGAGTACAGACTTCACCAAAGCTCTTTATTTCGGCTGCGGGAGGACTCTGAGCTGCTCTACAGTACTGAACATGGCCAACCTTCCTGAGCAGTGGGGATGCCCAGGGTGCTCCTTGCTTTCCAAGTCCTGGTAGATTCAGGCAATCTGGCACAAACATATCCACGACCTGCTGGACAGTAAAGCCACGAGGCAGGGTGTGGTGCCCAGAGCCCAGTGTGGCACGCCCTGCCTATGGCTGCCTCGCCCAGCTCTCAGCCATGCCTTGATCACATGCTGGGATGCAGGCAGCGGTGCAGCCCCAGAGAGGCGAACAGCCATCAGGGCTTAGCAATAACCAAATAAATAAGAAATGCTATCATGGAGTACACAAACACGCAATGGTTCTTTAAAAAACAAACCCAACACAAAAGTAAGCCAGAGCCAACAGGGTACACGGACGTGGGGGAGGGGGAGAATACCACCTGTAAAGTGCTTCGTGAGACACGGGGCCTTTCTGGTCTAGCCTGGCACCCCAGCTTCACTGGGAAAGGCCAGGACGTGGGCAAAAACTGCATGCGATTCCAGCAGTGCTCGGCCTCCAAGATGGGCAGAGCTAGGGAGCAGCCACCGTCACCCCTGGGCAGTCTACACACGAGCCAAAGGTCCTCGAAGCCCTGGGTCTGCACACTCGGCACACGGGAGCACACGCACACGCGGCACGGGGCTGTGCCATCTGGCTGGGCAGTGCTCGGGAGGCCTCACAGCAACATGCACTGGTGCCTCTGCGGCGGCGGCGGCTGCTCATGCGGCCGACAGGAACGGGAAGAAGAAGAAATCGAAGGCGAACTTCAGGGCGCCGTGCACGGTGCTGCGCCAGTCGTGCTCGATCTTCACATGCCGCCTGGCGGGCGAGAGCTGGGCCATGCAGTTGAGGCAGCTGATGGCCTTGAGCTCGAAGACGGGCCACTTGCTGCCCAGGCGGCCCTCGAGGATGGTGCTGAACTCGATGAGGCTGCCCTGGCGCAGGTTGAGCAGCACGCTCTTGAACTCGCTGCTGGCCCGCAGCACGATGTCCTTGGTGATGTCGTCCTCCTCGTGGCCGCGGGTGCTGTTGGTGCTGCTGCTGAACGGCATGCCCACCGTGATCTCGAACTTGTACCGGTCGAACTTCTTGATGTGGCAGGGGTGCTTGGCCAGGTGCTTGAGGCGGCAGAGCTCCTCCTCGGCCGTGGAGGTGTTGCCGGGGCTGCAGGACGGGTAGGCCTCGCCGTAGAGGCAGCGCATCCAGTCGCCAATGAAGTACGGGAACATGTTGATGGCCGACTCGGCGCTGTTGTCGATCTCCGTCACCCGGACGTACTTGAAGCGGCCTGTCCACGTGACCCTGTGGCCCTCCAGGTGGCTGCACAGGATCTGGGTGCGTGCCATGTTGGTCTCCTTCCAGGCCCGGGGCCCGCACAGGAAGCCGTACTGCTGCCAGGTCAGCGTGGAGTTGTAGACCTTCATGCCCTCCGAGCGGTACACGTAGAACCAGCAGAAGAGCACGATGGCCGAGAGCCACACCAGGATGAGCTTGACCATGGAGCTCCGCGTCAGGGACTTGACCATCTCCACCACAGAGAAGCTGGCCTTGGTCCACCAGCGGAACAGCAGGGGCACGCTGCAGACTGCCATGGTGACCAAGATCTTGGTGAGCTCCAGGGACACAAACCACCGGGCAAACTGCACCACGCCCATGAGGGCCAGGCCGGCCACCAGGATGGGGAGAGCAAAGAGGAAGAGGAAGTAACCAATGGAGGCGCGGACCAGGCCCAGGCCAGTGGACTCCAGCAGGATGGCCACAGAGAGCTCACACCACATGAAGCAGACCAAGTAGGGCACCAAGTAGCAGTAGGTGCCCTTGAAGTTCCTCAGCTGGGCCATGCGGAAGAAGAGGTAGAAGAGGTAGACGTAGAGCAGGCAGGGTAGGCTGACGTTCAGGACAACAAAGTGGCCGACAGGCACAGTCAAGAAGGTCTGCCCAAGTACCTTAAGGTAGCGCCCGTCCACGGGCATGGTGGGCAGAAGGGAGAGCAGCCCAGCAGCCGCCTCAGTGACCAGGGCCCTCCTGGTGTAGGGCTTGGCCGAGCTGCTCAAGCTCATGTAGCTGGTCACGGTGAAGAAGGCAGCAATGACGGCCAGCTCCGAGCAGGGGATACAGTCCTTGCTGGCCAGTGGGAAGGAGAAGATGACAAAAACAACAGAGAGCAGGAAGTGGGCATAGGGCTCCAGGTGGTTCCAGCCGAAGTTGACCTCGGCCTGCTCCACGTCCAGGTTGGGCTCGAAGCGTAGCAGCAGGTCAGTGAGGGTGCGGAAATTGTCCCAGGCCTTGCTGTCCTGGAACACCTTGAGGGTGCAGATGACCATGGACACAAAGGACAGGTAGAAGATGACCAGGGGGATGAAGAAGGCAAAGAAGTCGATGGTCAGGTTGCTGATGATGAAGAAGAAGATGAGGGCATTGATGTGGTGGGTGGGCACAATGGTGGACAGCCAGTGCATGCCTGCCTTGGAGGCCACGTCGATCAGGTACTCTTTGACCTCCATGATGGCGTGTAAGGGGTACTTCATCACCTGTGAGGAGAGGCTGCGTTGGCGTCACCTGAACAAGGACCCACGGCCCTCCCTCGCCTCACTCTGCACAGTGGGTAGCCTGCTCCGCTATTTCCCTACCCCTGGCACCTTGTCCCAGCAGGTCCTCCCACCCGGGCACCTGCCTCCAGGTAAAAAAGTGCTCCCCACACCCTGCACCCCCCGGGACCTTCTCTCACCCCCCACAAGTCCTGGTCCTCCTCTTCAGGGCCGTAGAGTCTTTCTCTACCCACCCCGGGCCTGGCTCCCCACCTTCTACCAGAGTGACAAAACTCAAGTGTGACTGTCTCCCTTGGGAGACCTCACGCACCTGGAGGAGGCCAGCCAGCTCCCCACTTTGCCCCAACACAGCCTCCTGTGTAAAGGGCCAACAGCCCTAGGCTGCCTGTCTGGGAATAGGTTTGCATCTCCCTCTGCCTCCACGGCAAGGGCGTCCCTCCCTGAGCCTCCGCTTCCCTGTCAGTCAAGGGGGACAGCAGCCATTACTGGAAAGACTCTGCTGGGCTCCACAGAGTGGGAGCATGGCAGCCCTGGAGGGCGGCTGGGCAGCGTGGAGAGCACAGGGCGAATGCGGGCAGTGAGGGCGCAGCTCTCTCTTGACTGAAGAGCCGATGCAGCTGCAGTGGGGCCAGGTGCGGCCCTGAGAACCAGCTGCCCACCACACACACACGCACACGCACACACACACACACACCCCATACTGCTCACAGCAGACACACAGCCCGTGGAGCCCCCCTCCTCGCCTTGAATTCCCCTCCCCAGTCAGTATCTAGTGTAAAGGTCAGAAGCAACTCGTGGCCTTTATCACAAGAAACTGAAAACCCAAGCACACTCTGGAGGAAGGGCCATGGGAAGCAAGGCAGGGGCAGCCTCGGGGCGCAGCGGGCGGTTCTGCCACCCAGAACAGCCTCACGTGCCTACCACAGACCCCCTGGAGCGCCAGGTCTGGCCAGGGCATGGGGAAGAGGGGGAGGGTGGAGAGGACACAGGAAGTGGTGGACAGTGCCTGTCCTCACACAGCATGGTGTGCGGCACAGGACAGGGTCCAGGGCCTGGGCCAACACCAGGGAGTGGATCCCTGGAGGGCCTAGTCCTGTGAGGGGCAGAGAGCAGCTGCTCACCATTAGCAATGGGCCAGGGAGCAGCACAGCCCCCACTCCCCGGGGCAGGCTCCCCCATGGCCTCCCTGGAGGGCTCAGGAGGACTCCTGGTGAACGGAAGGAAGTGACCACATGCAGGTGGCCCTCATCTGCCATGAGCCTTGGCTGTTGATTCACAATGACCAGAACACCTGGAAGCCACAGTAGGCTGACTGCCAAGGCAGAGAGGGACAGAGCTCAAGAGGCCATTGTGTACACAACTACGTGCACCTGTGGAGGAAGAGCCTCGTTCTTCTGGTGTCTTGGGACAGCACCTTGTGTGTTTTGTTTTGTTTTTATTTGTACTGGGGACTGAACCTAGAGGTGCTTTAGAGTCGATTCCTGGTCTTCTCTATTTTGAGACAGGGTCTAAGTTGTGAGGCTGGCCTTTAATTTTTGATCCTCCTGCCTCAACCTCCCGAGTTGCTGGGATTACAGGTGTGGCCACTGTGCCTGGCTCCTCAGTATGTTTTATAACAAGCAACAAGTGAATGAGCTGATTAACAGCTAGGGTTCCCCTGCTCCCTGGGCTACAACCTTTTCCTACGAACAAAGGGACACCCACACCTGCTGGGAAGTGGTCATGGGGAGATCAGGCACGGGCACCAGCCTTGGGACGTATTTCTGACACATGCCAGAAAGCAAACCAGCATTTATGAAAGTGCACCTCCTCTAGGGTTTGCCTGGGCGGAGCCCTCTGGCATTAGCCAGCAGCTGGCTAGAACCCAGAGCCAAGCAGTCAGTGGGGTGCCAGCGGCTCTGCTCATCCTGTGGGCGGACCTTGCTGTCAGTAGGAGAATCTAAGGTGCCCTGGGCTGCTATGCCCCTCATCTCTGTTGTGTGACCAGCCCAGGCAGCCTGGAGGACGTGGCCTGACAGTGCCCAAGGGGCTGGCGTTAAAGTACCTGAAGTCTAATGCTCAGAACCACCCACTACTTTTCATGCTGAGGCGGTCACATGACAGCCTGGTGCAAAGACCTGTAAAAGACAATGAAGCTTCTAGAACCTGAGACCCTGAGGTGTCTAGCACCTGCCCCAGGAGCCTCTGTGATCAGGGAATGCTCTCCTTTTTAAGATTCCAACCTCTGGTCCCCACAATTTCTGCCCAAGCCCTTTCTCTTGGGAATCCACCAAACTGTGGGACTAAAATTTTAGTGTCCTTTTCTATAGAGAATTTCTAAATAAATTAAAATAAACTCTACCTTGGGCTGGAGAACACATGAAATAATATTTCAAAAAATACCAGTGAGGAATCCAGTTCCAGGAAAGGAACATCAAGGTGCCCTCTGTGCAGGAGCAAGTGAGCAGCCCGTCGGCTGGCACGAGAACCGTGACGGAGCATCACGCCCAGGCCAGGCACGGGCAGAGCCCGCCGTTAGTAATGCAGGGCAGGCAAGTGCCTCCAGCCAGGTCTGTTCTCACCTAGAGAAAATGCTCACTTGTTGGGCTTTCCAATAATTTAATGTACAACATGTTAGGACTTTAAAACATTACTGTTTACTTTGAAGAGGGCGACAACTTGAACCCCCAGCTCAAGAAGAGCTGCTTGGCCTCTGGAGCCAAGTTGTTTGTGGAAGGACATCAACTCACAAGGAGGTATCTGTCATTTTCCCGAGTGTGGATGACCGCTCCCAGAACAGCGCCCGTCAGTCCTCTGAAAGGCCACTACAAGCTGGATAGCGCTGGAGCTGCGAGATGCCTGTCATGGTTCCTTACCTCTTTCCAAAGGCTTTTTTTTTTTTATCAAGACACACTGTTGGGGAGTCAAAGGGCTCTGACAGCCCCAAAGACAGAAAGCAGACACAGACCTTGACTACTTCCTGTCACAACAAACAGAGCTTCCGACTGCTCAAAGCACTGGACTCATGGAGTGGAGCGAGTGACGCCCCATCTGCTGCCCCAACCAGGGCGGGCACTCTGGGCGGAGGATCATCGGCACCCACCCTGCATGTACAGCTGAGATGCTCTGGCCCTGGTCTTCTCCAACTTACCCGTCACCTCTGACCTTCACTGGCATTTAGGGATGCCTCCTCTTTGCCAAGAACCATGCCAAGCACTCTAGATCCGTTCCCCCGTAAGAAAGTGAAGGCATCCTGTCTGTGACCCCCCAGGGCTCGGGGCAGGCTCCCTGGGTTGTGGCTATACCACCCTGTCTCAGAACGCAGTCTCTCCTGCCCTGCACACACCACCAGTCCTCAGTGGAAAGGGCAAGGCCTTTAATTCATCACCCCAGGGACCTACCAGCCTTAGGTGCTCGTCAGGGACTCAGACCCAGATGTGGGCTTAGCACCCAGTCCCTGGTTATGCCACTGCCCTCTGGCTGTGGCCTCTCCTCTTCCTCTCTGCCTTCCCCTGCCCCTGCTCGACTTCCTCCACTCCCGGCTCCAGCATGCTGCCTGTTTACCTGACCACCTGCTGGCCTGCAGCAGAGCCACCTTATTGCTGCCCCCATCCTAACTCGGTTACCCCATTCTCACACAGCCATGGGTCCATCCATGTTCTCGGTCCGTTATGAACACCCAGAAATGAAGAATGTTGGGTAACCCACACCCAGGGCTCATGACATGTCCCCTGCTTGGAGGAACTGCCCCTGTGCTGGCCCTGACAGCCCAACTCCTGGAAGTGCCGTTCTCTCTGCAGAGTGAGCTAAGGACACATCTAATTCAACCTTGTGGGCTGACCAGGGCAATTCCGTGAGAAGGCCATGGCCTTGGTGTGTCTGTAGTCCAAACCATCCACATGGACCAAACCCAAGGAGCCCTCAAGGCAGGGTGCAGGGCCCCATTTCTGATTTCTCTGCCCCCACCATACTCCTGTCGTCCGTATTGCTCACCATCCTCAGGTGTGCCCATATCCCCCACACAGGCGCTGGCCCACCCTCAGGATCCTTGAGCCCTGGTGGCCAGCAAACTGGCCCATGGCCTGACCTGCCAGACACTAGCACTCTGTGTCGAGGAACTGGCCTCTGGCCTGTGCTACAAGTGGATAATCCATTTCTCTCTGTGGCGAGTCAAACAAAAAGTCCAGCTCCAACGCCTCCACAGGCTGTCCACACTGCACTGTGCATAAAAAGCCCCAGAGGGACCGCAGCACTGGTCACTCCCGCATACCACCCACACCTCCTTGGCTTCTGAGCCGGCTGCCTAAGGAGGCATCCTTCTGAGGACACGTCTTTAGCAGACCCTGAGGACAACCCAAGAGACAAGCGGCATACCTCCAGGATGTCCCTCCCACTGCTTCCTGGAGGGGGACAGCGTGCTTGGCTGGCTCACCTTCTGGCGCAGTGGCAGGTCCTCGGGGCTCTTCCCAGCCAGCTCGTCGTCGTCATCATCCTGGAGGAAGAGGTTGCTGGGGATGATGCCCTTGGCGTACTTCTTGGTGATCTCCACAAAGTCGTCCAAGGCGATGTAGTTCTTGGCTGCAGCACAGAGGAAACAGCACAGGGGTTCCCCACTGTCAACCCACTGTGACTCTGACCTGGGCAGCCGAGGAAGGGCACAATGGCTTGTGGCCCCGCTGGGACAAGAGTCAAGATGAGGTTCGAAGCCCTTCCCTGGGTGTGATTACGGATGAAGACCAGCCATATGGGGAGGAACTGGTGGGCATGCTGCACTCTAACCTCCACCGCTGCCCCTGGCCCTGGTGATATGCCATTCTCCATGTGAGGTGACCGGCCCACCCAGCTCCTGTTGCCTGGAGCCCACCTGACCTCTGGGCCCAGCTCCACGGCTTTCAACAGCCTACATCTCCTGTGCCTCTGACTCCCTTTCTCTCCCTTGGGTGCTCACCAGGGCTCTTACAACACTGGTGACAAGTCCCCCAGGAGCCAGCCACCACCTCCGAGCCCCCATCCAACATGATCTACTGAGAGCCAACCGGTGACCTCCGTCCAGCACTTGTCTGTCAGGGTCCACTATGCACTGGGCACTCTTCTAAGCCCTGGGAAATACTAGGAAACCCAGCATGCCTGAGTCCAGGCTCCCAGTGCGGAAAACAGACACGAGACAAGGGCTGGGAGTCCCCCAGGGTGAGTCCATGTTAGAAGTTCTCCTCCAGGCTGCCCAGGACGGTGTGCAGAGGAATTGACACAAGGGGGTCACAACTGTGAGCACCTCTCCTACCAAGTTCCTCTCAGGTGTGGGCTCCGCCTCAGCCCGCCTGTTAGTGCTGAGCAGCCCTCTTGTTCCCCTGAGGAAGGTACAAGAAATGGAAAAGGACAGGCAGGAAGGAGACACAGGAAGGAAAAGGAGACTGGGATTTCATCTGAAAGCCTTGCACTCAAGTTCCTCAGGCCTGTCCTCCCAGGTCAGTCTTTCCCCCAGGCCTGTCACTCCCAGATTTCTGAGAAACCTACAAATCTTAATTCACTCACTTATAAAAACTGCCCTGTGCAATGTACTACCATGTATATTTCTAGAATAAGCAAAAAGATAGACGGTATCTTACAGAGTACTTTCCACACAGTATCCGTAGATCAGAAGTTTACTTCAAACTGAAGATCTCGAGAAGAGCTGGACCCGCACGCCACCCTGTGATCACCAGGACGACCAGCCTACACACCTGCCCATGCCCACCCCTCATGGAGTCGCCTTTAAAATAACAGCCTGAGACCCCAGAGGTGCTTCTCACCTGAGAGCGAGCCACATTCTGAAAATGAACGTATCTTCACCTTTCTAACAAGCTCCTCCTCTTTGTAAAATCTGATGCATTCTTAAATTTTTTTCTGCCATGTATCAAGAGCCTGCAGTCTGAGTAAAGGGCTGTTCTGCCTCCGGAGACCCCCTCAAACCTCTACAGTGACACCCCCATCTGTCTTCTCCAGGACAGCAGCCCCGGGGTCTCTAGACTGCAGAGTCCACTCCACATAGATGGAGCGATGCTCAGGCCAGGGAGCTGCATGCAGAGGTTGTGAGGCTCTCTGACCCTGGGGAGCCCAAAGGCACCCGCAGCTCAGCAGGTCCTCAGACCTCTCTCCCCTCCCTGTGCAAGCTCTGCCCCTCCCAGTACCCAGCTGGGGCCAAGTCTGCACACACCTGCAGATCCCCTTTTGGACCTATGCCCACGCTCTTCCCCCTGCCTGGAGCGTCTCCTCTTGCTGTTCATGACTGACCCCCCCTTACCCTTTCCAGCTCATGCAGGCACCATGGGTGTAGGCTCCCACACCTTTGCCTGCCTGTCTTTCTCACATGGCAGGGGCTGTCATGTTGCAGGTGTGTTTTGCTGGAGCTTGGACAGCCTGGTGGGCAGAGTCTAGATCCCAGTGTCCAGAGGACTAGCACCCAAACAGACAGGACCAAGAATCCACTCATCCCCCAGAATCTTGATTGTGGCCCAGGCCTGGGATCCACCCGAAGGAGCAGATGCCATAGCTGAGAGGTAGGCGGAAGTCCCGGTGCCACCCTGGCAGGTACAGGCTTTACTCACACTCACTGCTGACCAAGCGCTCGAGCATTCGCCTCTGCTTCTGCAAGGACTTGGGGACAGGGCCTGGCTGCGCTCCTCCATCTGCCAGAGACAAAGTGAATTGAGAATAGGGGCTGTCTGTCTCCTGCCCTGAAGCCCACCAAACAGAGGTCGTTAGTGAGCCGTGGGGACCCAGGGCTTGGGGCCTTCATGGCAGCCCGTGAGTCTTACAAGCACCACACTTCTGGCGGCCACCTCTGAGCTTCCCCATGAGGTGGACTCAGCACCTGCTACAGTGTTCCCACTCAGTGAATGACACAATCTCTCCCACCTGGGGACAAGGTCACTGCACCCTAGGCACACTACCCTCTTTGGCTGGCACCACCTGATCTCAACCACTTTTGGCCAGCATCATGTATTGGTCTGGTTTTCCCACTGAGCAGTGAGCTCCCCAGCAGTGAGGGCAAGTTGTCTGTCACCTCTGTATACCTGGCCCAGACACAAGGAGGAGCTCAGCACAAATTTGATTAATGAGCAAACACCCAAGCCAGGATTTATGCTGTCCTTCTGTGAGCATGCCGTACCTCCCTACTGTAGGCCCCAATCCCCATAAAGCATGCCCTGGCCCCAAGAGAGAAGGTCCCAGCCCCAGAGGAAGGCCCAGGCCCCAGGAAGGCCCAGGCTCCAGGAAGGCCCAGTGCTGTGGTGGCCTGCCTACCATGCTCGTTGACCTGGCCCACATTCTCCAGTAGCTCCGACACAGCCACCTGCTTCTTCTTCTTGGGGTTGAGCTTCCAATACATGACCAGCGCAGCTTTGCGCACAGCCCTCTCCAGGTCAGTCTCGGAGGAAAGCTGCTTCACCTCTGGCTCATTTTCGGAAGTGATGCCTGACAGACAGAGGCAACAGTAAGTCCTCCTCCCGCCCATCTGGGCCCATCAGTGCTGCTCTGAAAGGTCAGGGAAGGCAACGTGTGAAACATCTGTCAGGCACCAGACGGTGGCCATCTGAGGCAAGCACCCCCGGCATCGGCTCTCCTGGCTGGGGCCCAGCTGGTCTGGTGGCAGAGGGCCAAGTGTCTCTGCGTGCAGGTGTATAAAGGCTTTCAGTCTTCCTGGCTCGCTCCCTGCCCCCATTATCCTCTGAGACCCCTCTGAGTGGGTGCTGGTCTAGAGCTGAGGCATATGGCAAGGTGCTGGCTTGCCCAGGGCCACAGGGTCCCAGGGAGACAGAACTGCCTTGAACCAGTTCAGTCTCCCTGCACCACTACTAGCTGGGCGCAATGGCAGGGCCATCCCTGTGTCTGCAGTGCTTCACAGGCTCAGACCCTTGAGGGCAGCCAAGGGAGCAGTATCTCCCACGTGGCAGCCCTTTCAGAGGAAGCAATGGTGAATAGGGTCCACTGCTTTGTCCCTTCACCCACCACTACCTGGGACAGCAGCCGCCTCTTCCCGGGGGGCAGCCAGACTTGGGAAGAATGACTTCTCCTACTAAACACGCCCCAAATTTTCCACACAAACAGGAAGCCATAACAAATGGCCTCCTCTGGGTTCCCACTGCCCCAGTACCCCTCCCCACCCCGGCCGCCTCTGCCCGCCTGCCTGCTCTTAGGAAGCATCAGTCCTCCTCCTTCTACTGTGAGTGCAACTGAGCAGGTCTTCCTGGGCCTATAGTCCCCAACTGTTCTCAGAGACTGGATGGAAACAGCCCAGAAATTCTGCCCACAGGCCTCTGCTTTAACACAGTACAGCTGGACCTGTGTGGCTGCCTCCAGGATCCATCCTTCAGTTTGGATCAGAACCCAGAAGGGAAAATGGCCATAGTTAATTACTACCAAAGGGGAGGGAAATGGCTTGGTCTGTTAAATCTCCCATCATGCCCCACAGTGTCTCAATCGACAAGGCTACTAGCCACACACTCCTCATTTCCCAGCAGTGTCACCAGCACTAGGTTTTCCTGTGTACCATCTCAGCTGTCCATTTGGCGAGCAGCATTACAAACTGCTTGCCCTCAGGCAGCTGGAGCTCCCTGCAGACTCACCTTTCCTGTCGGCCAGGCACCGGCGCAGCAGCTTCACCGCCTCCCTCCGGCCCTGTTTGGCGGCCAGGATCAGCCAGTCCACGGCTGTGCAGTTGTTAAGCTCTTCGTCCCCATCACTGGCCAGTCGCAGGTAGTGTTTTCCCACCTGCAAGCCAGACACCACTCAACCTTGCCTTTTGGGACCTCGCCTGCCCTTGCTCCTGCAGCCCACTCCTCAGGTCTCCTCCCCATGTCACTCAGACCAAGAAGAAAGGTGGTGGGAATGGGTCCCACTGGGTGCCTGCACTAGACTGGACTCTTGCAGGTCCTGGGCCCTGGCTCCTGCCCAAAACACTGTGAGGCAGGCATAGAACCCTGGGCAGATGAAGGAGCCACAGCGCCTGCACTCTTGAGATCTTCCTCAAGCTGCTCCTGCCCACCAAGAGCCCAAGGAGGGAAACTCACAACAGTGACGGCCCACAGACCACCTCTCAAAACAGGTGACCACATAAAATCAGGGGTGGAGAGACGGCAGCCAGACAAGGGCTGAACTGGCCTACTGGCCAGATTTTTTTTAAATAAAGTTTTACTAGAGCACAGCCATGACTGACCCAGTCCAACCCTCATACTCTGGACAGAGTGACCACTCAGAGATGAGAGTGAGCAGCACAAACAGTAGGGGGGCTGCAGGAACGTGGAGGTGGGGAAGGCATGGTGGCTTTTCTGTGATCCTTGCTCAAACTGGGTGGGTATGACAGAACATGGAGCCCAAAATACTTACTATCTGGCTCTTTATGAAAAGAAAGATGCCGGCCGACCCAGTCCGACCCTCATTCTCTGGACAAAGTGAGGCCCAGGGCACAGACAGGGCCTCAAAAAGGGCCAGTATGTGATCCAACCCTGGAATGTGCAGGCAACAGGCTATAGAAGAACTTCAGAGTGCAGAGTGCAGGGTGAGCCACTGCTCTGGACAGCTCTCTGGGGCCTCTGGCAGCCCCTCTACGAAGGATGTGGTGGTCTCCCTACAGGGTGGGCCGGGCAAGGCTGGAGGCAGGCACTAGGCAGAGACCTGCTCACAGCTCGCTTCCTCACACTCTCAGGCCCTCAACTTCTCCACATTAATGACAGGAAGCTGGACTCTGGGACCCCCCCCAGATTTCCAGATACCAACAGGAGAAACAGCAAGAAGTGTGGGAACAACACTGCCCACATCGCACCAAGGACCAGGTGGGAGGTCTCGGAGCTGCTGACCTGGGCATGAACCATGGCGCTGTGCCTCCTGGCTCGGTGAACTTGGGCAAGTTACTAAAGCGCTTTCAAAGAGAGTGAATGATGACGCCCTCTGAGGACATCATGAAGACAACCTGAGACGGCCATGACCTGCTGAGGTCCCCCCCAACCCGTGCACCTCCTTGTGTTTTGGTTCCTGACCCCACTAAGCCTCTCTATCCTCAGGACCCCTGCTCCCGTCTCCTGTCTATGCCTTGGCAGAGATGGCACCTCCTCAGAGGACACCAGGACCCTCTGCTATTTCCTCTATCAGGAGCATCTGTTTACTTTTTTGTCAGCTCCTTCCACTTTCCTATCACTTCCATGAGGATAGGGTCCCCATCCATGTGGCACTGAGTCTCTGGCACCGGCACAAACCCAGCCCATGTCTATGGTCACTTCTCTGAGGGCTCTGTGCACTACTCTGGTCAGGCACAGAGTGGCCACTCAGAGACGAGAGTGAGCAGCACAAACAGTGGGAGGGGCATGCAGGAATGTGGAGGTGGGGAAGGCATCTTAGAGGAGGGGAGGCCCAAGGCAAGGTGTCAGCCGGACCTGAGGGAAGACATGGGGGCCGGCCCAGCAGGGTGCTGGGGGGATGGCACTGTGGATGTGGATCAACTGAACATGGTGGGGCACATTCCTCCTCTGTGGGCTGCAGAGCTCTTGGCCAGGCCCTGTCCTGCTGGGGCTGGGTCCTGAGTTCCCAAGGGGACAGTGTGGTCCTCACCTCTGTCTGTGCCTTAGGGTCCCCAGCCTTGGCCTTCTCCAGGACTTCCTCAAATGGGATTTCCATCTCTCTCCTCATGGGTCCTTTAACAAAGGGAAAAAAGCAGAATGTCAAAAGCCAGACCTTGTCACTTGGCAGAGTGGAGGGGCAGCAGGAAGGGCCTTCAGAAGACTTGGTGCCGATACTTACTGTAAAATCCAGGCCAGGAGCAACAGAACCGCCGCAAAGACAGGACAGGGCCAGGGAGCAGCAGTCTGCCTCCCAGCTCTCCAAACAGCCCCAGAGAAGAGACTGCAGCATCTACCAAGCGCAGTGACTTCCGACAGCAGAAATGGGAGGCACAGGGACAGGCACAGTCCTGAGTCCCACTAGTGTCCCCCTCAGCTCAGGCCTTCTCTTGCTGGAGCTCTAGAAAATCTAAGGGCTCCATTTGAAAGACACTGGCCTGGACAAAAAGAACGTGCAGGACTCAGCATGCCAACAATTGTCACCACAAACACCTGCCTTCTGGAGAGTACAGTCAGCGTACGGACATCTTGGTACAGATGCTTTTTGCTGATAAGTGAGTGTCTCAGTCTGTCGGGGGGGCTATGATAGATGCCACACACCAGGCGCCTTACAACAGAATTTATTACTCCCAGTTCTGGAGACTGGGAGTCCAAGATCAAGGTGCCAGCAGATGATGTCTGGCAAAGGCCCCGTTTATAGTTCACAGATGGCACCTTCTTGCTAGGGCCTTGCATGGGAGGGGTGAAGGAGTTCTGGGGTGGGGGTCTCTTTTATAAGGGCACTAGTCCCATGTGTGTGTTCTCTACCCTCATGACCTCACCGGCCCCTGAAGGCCCACCTCCTAGTAGCACTGCACAGCAGGTCAGGAGGCCAGCATGTGACCTGTGGGGCACCACAGTGACTCGCTCAATTTCCACACTGCGCCACAGTGAGTTCACCACCTCAGTGGCTCCTAATTCCCATGGGGCGGGGGGGCATGCTCAGGCTTGCCAGCCTTTCCACTCTCTCGGGCCTCGGGGTTGTTCCCTGTGGCCCCTTACTTTATAAAATGGTGCCACAGACCATTCTGTGCACCCTTTGTTTTCCGTGGGAAATGATTTTCCTAACAGCTTCTCCAACTGAACGACTCATCACAGGGCTCATGCTCTATTCGTCTTCCTAAAAAGTTACCTACAAAAACATCATACAACTACATCAATTCCATTACAACCTTATCGACACTGGGTATCACAGGAATGAAGAGAGCTTTTAAAACTACTCATTTTTACCAGCTCCTTTCTTTGATTCAGGCAGACAATATTTAAGGGCTGACACTCAGTCCCACAGCTTGACTCCAACCCCTGCTATGCTCCCCCTCGGCAGAGACGAGACACCTGGCTCTGGCACCTGGGAAGCACGAGGGGCGCTTGGCAGAAGACTTTTGCCCTCTCACTGTTTCCAGAGACCACAGACAGAAGTGAAGGACGTGACACCTGGTCCCCAGCCACAGCACACAGAGGGCCAGCTCCTCGCCACTTCCTCTGCGGCTGTCCCAGCTCCAGTCTCTGCCAGCCCTGAGCTGGGCTCTGCTGCAGTGCCACTGGCCCCTGCCTCAGGGCACCCAGTGCTCCAGGGGAGGCAGTGGCAGTAAAGTGGCCAAAGACGACACAAGCGCGAGGTTCAAGGGTGAGGGTCTGAGTGTCATACCAGTTAGGAGAGAGTGCAGGGAGATGGAAGATGACCCCAAAGTGCAGACAGGGCGTCGATGTCCAGGATCTATGAAGAGCTCAGAACACTCACACCAAACACCAGATGACCGGTCAATAAAAGGGTGAAAAGACTGAACTTCTCAAAAGAAGAAATACGAATCAACAATACATCAAAACTGTTCAACATCTCTAACAACGAGGGAAATGCAAATCAAAACTACACTGAGACTCACCTCACTCCAGTCAGAACAGCAATGATCAAGAATACAGATAATAAATGTTGGCAAGAAAGTGGGGACAAGGTATGCCACACCTTTTGGTATTTAGGTAGGACTGCAAATTAGTGCAATGAGAAAAGGAAGCACCCGGGTAGCAGGATGGAGAGTCCTTGAAAAACTAGGAAGAGGACCACCACATGATACAGCCATCCCTCTCCTGCGCACCCCAAAGATTTCTGATCGCATACTGCAGTGACACAGCCACGTCATGTTTACAGTGGCCCAACTCAAAAAACTAGCTGCGGAACAAACCTTGGTGCCATCCACAGATGAGTGGATACACACCGGGGAGCCGTCAGGAAGAAGGAAATCATGGCATTTGTTGGTAAATGGATGGAACCCAGGGCTTTCATGGTAAGAAAAATAAGCCAGTCCCCAAAAAGTCAAAGGTTGAATGTTTTCTCTGGTATGTGAAAACTAATCCAAAATGAGGGGAGGGGCCACAAATAAAGAAAAAGATAAAGGGAAAAAAGGGAGAGAAAGTTTCATCAAAATAGAGGAAAGATCAGTAGAGCAGACAAGGCATTCAGAAGGAAGAAGGGATGGGAAAGGGAAGAGGGTGGAATCAACCTGAACAAATTTTAAGCACATATGTGAGCACAGCACAATGAACCACAACATCACTACAGACACACCATATTAGTTTTTAAAAAATCTATAAGTAAATTACAGGAAGATAGTAGAATAGAAGGAGGGGAGGAAGGGAAGGAGGAAGTGCTGGGGATTGAATTGGAGCAAATCATATTCTATGCTTTTGCGATTGTCAAATGTATCCTAAAGTTATATAGAACTAAAAAGAACAAAAAGTATTTACAAAAAAAAAAAAGTGGGGGCTGGGGTTGAGGCTCCGAGATAGAGCGCTTGCCTGGCACATATGAGGCACTGGGTTTAATCCTTGGCATCATATAAAAATGAAATAAAGATATGTGTCCACCTACAACTAAAAAATAAATACATTTAAAAAACAAGTGCATGTAGCCCCTGAGGGCGCTCTGAAGAGGCTTGTGATGGTGGAAGAGGAGCAAGAAGAGCTCCTGGGGAAGGTGCAGTGACCCCCACACAGTGGCAAGTCTCCCTGCAGAGTTTTGGGCTCAACTTCCCCCAGGGACTTTACTCAGCAATGATTCCAGGGCCCATAAAGCGGCTCTGAGAGGCCTTTTCCCTTCCCGAGTAGCCCACTGGGCCTTTCTTGCTGTCCGCTGTGAGGTAGCCTCCAGGGGCTCCTGGGCCTACCTGTCTCTAAGCCCTGGTTTCTGATGCAGCACTACAGTGCAGCTAGGAAGTGCTGAACCAACAGAGAAGGGGGCTGAGAAGGCAGCAGCGAGAGCAGGGCCCTCGGCATTCCTCTGTCTCCCCCAATCCAATACAGCCACAGCCCAGCATGCACCGGGCTTAGTGACTGAACTGCCAAGTTCAGCTCCCTTCGGTAGAAGAAGGGTGAAGAGAGGGACCTTCCTGCCCATTAGGAGTGTAGAACCATCCCGGCCATGTGCTGCAAGCCTCTGGGTCCTTCCCCACCAGCTGACCACGTGTAGAGCCTTCCCTGGTTGGCCAGCAACAGCAAGCTGGCTTCCAGTCTCACACTACTGCGGCTACCCACGGACGCCTGAAATTTTTGAATGCATGTCAAAAAATGCACTGTATGTTGGCATCATCCCTGTGGCCAGAGCAGAGTGCTGTGGCCTTGTCCCAACAGGACACCTAGGCCACTCTGGACCAAGGTTTCCCACACATGGGGAAGCTGAGGTTACCCTGGTCCAAGGAGTGCTCCTCACACGGGGCAGTTGGGGCTACCTTGCATGTAAGGAGTGGGCCATTAGCCTCTGTGCCACTAACTCTGTCCTTGGGAAGGAACACAGTGAGGGATCCTTGACCGCAGCCCCGCCTGCCTGAGCTGGCCGAGCTCTGTGCAGGGATGGAGACAGTGGGTACTGGGGCAGGTCTTGCCCAGACAGGCACCCTTCCACTAGGCCCAAACAGGACGTGTGAACTCAGCCACACCCTCACCCACCAATGTGAGTGCCAGGAGCCAAGGGAAGCCAGTTAACAAGGCATGACCCCTGCCCTTGGTAAGGCCCACCCCCAGGGACAGCGAGGACAACTCCATTCTACCAGGACAGGTGGGGACATCAATGGTGACAGGGGAGGCTTCATGGAGGAGACGACGTTGGAGGCTTGGAATGCCTCCAAAGGAGGTTAAAGTAACAATCAAGAGGCACACGGCCAGGTTTCCAAGAGGCCTGGAGGCCATCGGGTGAGCTCAAAGGACCCTGCTTCATGCTGTGTCAGCTACGGCACAGGGATCACAACACACACGCAAGCCGACAGCCAGGTCAGTCCAAGGCAACGTACGCAACATGCTGTCTTCCTGCGCTGTTGACAGCGGGACTCCGAGTGCTGCTCGGGGCTGTGGCTTGCTCCCCACTCAGCATCTAGCGCGCACCCACAGTGCACTGGCTCCCGACCCCTCCTCACACCCACTGCCGGGACCAAGCTCTGACCCCTCCCCCTGGGGTCCCGTCTCAGCTGTGCCACCACTGTCCACCTAGGGGCTCCTGAGGTCACCCTGGCTTCCTCCTTTCCCTGTCCATGCCCAGCCGCCAGGCAGACTGGCCACCTTTCTTGTGCTCCAGGCTCCAAAGCCTCACTCTCCTGCTCCGCTCCCCCATCTTCTCCAGCACAAGGTGGTTCCTCAAGGTGAAAGTCAGGGCTGGGGATGTGGCTCAAGCGGTAGCGCGCTCGCCTGGCATGCGTGCGGCCCGGGTTCGATCCTCAGCACCACATACAAACAAAGATGTTGTGTCCGCCGAAAACTAAAAAATAAATATTAAAATTCTCTCTCTCTCTCTCTCTCTCTCTCTCTCTCTCTTAAAAAAAAAAAAAAAGGTGAAAGTCAGCTCCTTCCCCATGGAGAGCCCTGGCAGCCCCTCATGCTCACAGCAACGTTCCTGCCCCGACCCTCAGGGCCCCACTGGCCCAGCTGACCTGGGCCCCCACACTCTGACCCTTCCTCTGTCTCAGCCCAGCTGCACGCCCCTTCCATGGTCTTGGAACTTGGTGTTCACTTCTTCCTGCCACAGCCCAGGACACCCTTCCAGAAGTGTCTTACTCCCAGCCGTGGTCACTACTGGGTAGTGTCCTGGCAGACCAGCCCTGTCTACCTCAGGGTCCTGCTAATGTCCTCATCATCTGTGTCTCTATAGCGGACAGGCATATGTCATCTGGCACTAGCGGGTGGGAGGCGATGAAGACTCAGACTGTGCAGGCTGGACACCCACCGTGGTCCCTGGGGTCTGTAGGAAGGGCACAGACAAGGAATAAGACTTACAGCCAGGTAGATCCCAGGCTCAGACCTGCGTCTACCCAGAAACATTAGAGATAAATTGGAAGAACATGGTGATCTTTTAAAAGAGAAGCAGAGTCCAAAAGAGCCTGAGGTGGGGCGCGTGTCCAGCCAGAGCTGCACAGGGAGCCCAGAAGCCCTCTAGCTCTGCTAGCAAGGCTGCAGCATGTGACAAGTGTGTCACTACTGGGCCACCTATGGCAGGGCTGGCACACAGCCACAGCAGGTGCACACAGCAGGTCCAGGGCCTCGGCATGGATGGTGTGAGGGCCCTGCTGATGGGGCAGTCTCTCAGGGAAGAGAAGATGACGGGGGCTGGAAAGAGGGTTCCTCACAGAACCAAAAGAGCCATGGCCACACTCCTTCCAACTGCCCACCTGCTCTCAGCCCCTGCAGCCCTGAACCTGCCCTGCTCCTGTCCCTCCAGTCCTTGCTGATGCTGTTCTTGGTACCCAAATCCTTGCCCACAGCCTCACCCCTATTGTATGCCAACTCTTCCCTCTGCCTGGCGTCCAGCACACAGAAGAAATAAAACAAAAGCTGCCGAGGGTGGAGACAGGAGTATCTGCTACAACCACTAGGGGCTGTAGAACAAGACCCACCCAAGGTACAGCTGGTGACCCTAGGCCTGGCCCTCACCTGCTATGGACGTGTCCAGGGAGACCAGATGCAAAGAGAGAATTCCCAGTGAGAACACATGGGCCTGTCACTGCAAGGCTCACTCACCCACACTGTCACCCCACTAAATACCCAGGACACTTCTGAACCAGGGACCCCGGCAAGATGGGGTCCTCCTCTGCAGACAGTGGATTTCAAACTGCAGATTTCACCCATGAGAAGGTCATGAGGTCAATTTAACTGCCCCAAAGCGGCATTTATTTTTAAATCCCAGGAGCAAAGTAGAACATAGACCAGAACACAGAGGAAGGGCGATACTGCTTTGGAAACTTGTTCCCAAGCATGTGAACGCATGTGTACATGTGCCACACTGCAACAGAACATGTATTCCTGCTATGGGAGCAGGCTGGAAAGTGCCAGAGGCAGGAAAGCCTTATTAAGCAGGTGGCATTGAACAGGTGAGATGGTGATACCATATCTGGGACAGAGGTTCCCACGTGGCCAAAGGGGAGGTAGGAAAGCATGGAGGCAGATTAGGAGAACCCAGAAAGGATACCCCAGCAGCTCTTAGATCTGAGGTTCTGAATAAGACTGCAGAGTTGGAAGCAAGCCCCACCTGAGTCACTGAAGACCACAGCCAGCCTGGGCTGAAGACTGTTGGCCCTGGCCCTACCCCCTTACCAGCTCCACCCATTTCTTCTTGGCTCCTGGCACGAGGGGCCCGAGGCTCAGCTAGTACAGCTGCTTCTCTGATGCTTGGGCCAGGGCCACCTTGGGGCCTGGGAGCTTGGGGTGCCTCGCTCCTCTCTTCTTCCACTGAGGCAGTGGCATTGAGCCGAGCGCGGGCTTGAGGCTGTGGTGCTGGTGGAGGCTGTGGGATGGAGGGGCTCAGAGGAGGAGTGCTGGAGTCCATCTTGCCTGCAAGAAAAGCAAAGGGTCAGACACACTAGGGCCTCCAACCCAGCTTGTGCCAGCTTTTCATTTTTGGAAAGAGAAGAAAGCAAAGAGATGGGTGGGATCTGCCAAGCACCCTGTGATCTCGTTTAACCTCACAGCCCCGCAGGCAGCCCTGTGCTACAGCAACTCCCTAAGGGTGTCTAGGGCGACCCACAGGGCAGCAATTCTGACCTCAGACCCTCGGACTTAGGCTTTAAATCCCGAGTTCCCGCCTCACCAGGTCAAGCCACAAGACCTTGGGTGTTAGTGTCCTCATCTGAGAAAAGAGGATGGGAATGACAACATTCAGACATAATCCAGAGAAACACTGAGCACAGTGCTTGGCTGTGGGAGCTTCATGTGATATAATTCAACATCTGTAGAAGTGAGCTGACTTGGAAAAATGGGTGTTTGCAGATGCTAATGAAGTTCAAGATCTTGAAATGAAAGCCTCCTGGATTAGAGTGGCCCTAAATCAACACGGAGCATTGTCATAGGAAAGAAACACAGACGTGCAGAGAGGTCATGAGAAGCAAGGGCCAGAGGCTACAGGGTGCAGCCACAAGAGAAGAGACCCAAGGCCTGAGGCTACCATCGGAGCTGGGGTGAAGTAGGGAACAGACCCTCAGAGTCTCCAGAAGGGACTACTACAGCCCATACCTTGGCCTTAGATTTCTGTCTCCAGAATCATTTATGGCACTGGGGAATGAATGCAGAATGCTCTACCATTAGACGACATCCCCAGCCCTTTTTATTTTTAAATTTTTATTTATTTATTTTTACAGTGCTAAGGATGGAACCTAGGACCTCACACATGCTAGGTAAGCACTCTACTATTGAGCACACCCCCTACTTCTTATTTTGAGACAAGATCTTGCTAAACCGGCCAGCTTCCTGCATCAGCCTCTCAAGCTGCTGGGATCTGCAGGCATGTGCAACCACACCTAGCCAGACTGCTGATTTAAGCCACCCCGTTTCTGGTGATTGTTTATGGGGACTTTGGGAAATGAACACCTTGGTATAAAGTAAAAGTTAAATAAATTGAGGAGACTTAGGGAAAGATTGGTAGGATAGGGTGAGTGGGGATGGCACACACCTGGTGAATCCAGATTTTTCCAACCAGAACTGCCCAGATCCACAGCCTTCTAGACCAGGCCCTGATCACAGGACAAGAGTCACAGAACTTCACACCCCAGCTACTAACACTTATTAAAAAGCAAATGAATGCATAAGGGTGGTGGTGGCATATGAAGAGACTTCTAGAACAGACCAGAGAGCACAGAGAGCCCGTGGCATATGTCATGATGGGGGAAGGGGTCAGTCAACAAAGGGCCGCTGCATGCGGCTCAGCAACATGGAAACCAGTGTCAACGCAATTCAGAGCAACTGCAAGTCACAGACCATGGGGCAGAAAGCTCTAGAGGATCCTTAATCTAGATGATATTCAGGGGCACAGACCCCTAAAATTGTCAGGCCCCATGCACACTGTGGGGCGTGGGAGATTTTTTTCTTCAAACTTCCAAATGACCCTCCCCATACACAAGGCACCTCTCTTCATCAAACATGAGGAAACTGAGGCACAGAGCAGGGGAGGCTGGTGACGAGGAAATCTGTTTCCCAATCCTCACCTGCCAAGGCCCCTTCCTTTTGGCTCTGGGCCCACCAAGCTGTGTGGTCCTGAGCAGCCCAAGTCCCTCTCTGTGCATCAGTCTCCTCATCTGCTTGAGGATACTACCTTGTCCTTGGGCTGCTTGTGAGGACCAGTATGACCACAGCTGCATGAGGGGCCAGGGTTCTGGCTCCTAGCCCTAAGTCAGTCCAAGTGGGTAGAGCTGGATGTCTCTAGACTAATCACTGGAAAACAGGAATGGCCGCAGGTCCCATCAGTTCCAGACCGTTCCGTTTTGTTCCATCCCCAGCTACCAAGGGGCCCTAAGGATCAGATTTGTGTTCAAAGAACAATGTAGATTTCAATCTGAATGTTCCTCCCTCAGAGGGACTGAGCCCTTATTTTCATTTAGTTTAGCTTTTTTTTTTTTTTTTTTTTTTTTAAATTTTTGAGCCCTATTAAAACATTCCCAGAACAATGTCTTAAAACAACAACAACACCAAAAAAAAAAAAAAACAACATTGCCAATACTCATGAATTTGCTTGGAAATCAATGCAGGGCTTGCTGCTGTCTCCAAACTTTGAGCTTCTGGGAATTCGCCTCTCCTGAAGACCTCATCATTTAACTGCATGTGCAGACCCAAGGGAGCGCGTGGCCTGCTGGGGGCAGAGAAAGTGAACCCACAGCCTGGTACACAAAGCAAAAGTCATTCAGGACACCAGACCATCTGAGTCAGCAAGAAAGCCTTGTTCTAGCTCGCTTTCCCCCACGGCTCTCCTGCCCCAGAAACAGTGGCACCTTCTCTAATGGCAGAAGGGCAGCTGAGCTTTACTTAGAGCTAGCTTATGGCAAGGCACCTATCATTAATAACAACGGCTCTGCTCTCTGTGCGCCAGATACTCTTCCCTTGGGGTACTCCTAGGCAGGTACAACAGCATCCAGGGGCTGCTGGTGGAGAACCTGTTTCATCTCCAACCCTCACCCCATTTCACAGACTAGGAAACCAAGGTGAGAGACCTGATGAAACAGCTCGCAGAGCTGAGGTTGAAATTCAAGTCCACACCTGTATTCCCAAACCGCAGCAAGCTTGTCTCTGGAAAAGAGGCCTTTCAAGCTCCCTCCACCCTCTCCTCCCAGGTCCCTTCCCTCCACAGCACTGGCTGCTGGTCTACTGCAACAGGCAACTGCCCACCCTCACTCTCTGCTCCTGCAGCACCTCTTCCTGGGGAGCCCGTCCATCCCTACTGGACAGCCTTCATGCCGAGCTCCAGAGACACCTTTGCAGGTATCTGCCAGCTGCTTCTGTGAA